TAAAGTCTCCTCCAATTATGAGAGGTTCATTCACACCTTGTATCACCTCATTTAATTTTGCCCAAAGACCACTTCTTCTACTCACTGTCGGGGCTGCGTATACGACTATCATATGAAAAATATCTGTTCCAGTATCCACCTTCGCATGAATAAATTGATCAGAAGTTTCTATAATCGATATACTCCCCAGGCTCGACCTCCACAAAAGCCAAATTCCACCACTCTGTCCAACTGCATCAACTCTGAAAGAGTTTTCAAATCCCAAACCATTGCAAATGCGGCTTGCACGATCTCCACCAGCGTGCGTCTCAAACAAAGCCAACATATCTGTATGATTTTTCTTTAAAATGTAACGAATCGATCTTCGAAAATTGGGTTTATTCGCCCCCCGGCAATTCCATAGTAAGCAATTCATCATTAAAATGTATATTCGGTCGAGAACCACCGGGAAAAACCGTTATGCACCCGTCTGTCCCTCCTTTCCATCCGGAGGATCACTCTGCACGACCATAACCCCACTCCTCAATTCTTCCTCTGAAACCAGCTGTGTACTCCGCCTCCATCACTACATTAGTTTTTCAACCTAAGATTATCATTATCTAATTGTTTTTTGCCTTCAATAATACAATGCTACTATTTAATTATTTTGTAATTTCTATTCTACCATGTTACAAACAAACAATCGTTAGATATTATTTCTCTCTTTTTTTTTTTTATTATAATTGGATTAGTTTATCAATATGGATGGGTTTTTGGGAAAACGATGATGATTCATGAGTTATATATAATTAGGCCAACATTGTTAATCGCTAAAGGTACATGGTGTGAACTTCAAATCACAGAACAAATATAGTATACGAGGTATGTTGATCTAATGCCGGATAGAGTCTTTTGCTAGAGAGTTAGCAGCTTTCAATCAATTGCTTCTATATTGACCATGTCATGATCATAATCGGAGCAAGAGTTGCCGTATCGGAATAGAGACTGGATTTTGAGCCTGTGGAGACTGAATTTTAACTAATCACTATGCATGGTATCTCATCACTTTTAGCAGACAAAAATATTGATAACTCCGACAAGAGATGATAACAATATATGGTATTGATTTATGTTTCACAAATCGGGAGCAATATAAAAAAAAACTAAGATATATAAATAAATACAAACGGAGACTTGTTGAAATTTTTATTTTTTGGGAAAAAGATTGAAAGATACAGAATGACAAATTTGCATTAGCATGTGTACGTGTAACGAAAAAGTATATTTTTGGTTAAATTACCATATTTGTACTCGAAATAGTTCAACAATAATATAAAATTATACATAAAAATCACATTAGTCAATTTAAATCTCAACTCATAAGCGAAATCACATTCGCAAGAAAAAAACGAAACCTCTCTCAGATTGAAATCGAAAGCACGGATTTTTCTTCAAATCTGCAGGATCCATTCATGATTTCGAAGATCTGTTTATCAATTCTCAGGTAAATCTCCAGGATCCATTCATGATTCTCGTATTGATTCCGCTCTTAACCCAAGTTGGTTAAAAATCTAGAGTTTTGATCGGAATTGTGATTTTGATTTCAGATCAGAAGCTTCTACGAGTTGATTATATGCTGTGTTTGCAGATCTGGGTTTGGTTATATTTCTGAGTAAATCTCTCACCCAACACCATGTGTGATCAAAGACCAAATCTTTTAGGGTCTCTCGTGTTGTTGGGTTTCTTCATCTTCTTTGTTAATGGAGAAGAATGCTCAAACTCGAGCTCTTTGATTGGGCACGAGTCTGAGTTCAAGATGTTGCAACACCAGCTTCGTGGGGTTTTCACTGTTGTTGATGATTGTTCGTTTAGGGTTTCTCGTTTCGATATGCTCTCTGGTTCTGATGTTCATTGGTGGGGTGCTATGACTTCTGATTTTGATAATATGACTAATGATGGCTTTGTTATCTCTGATCAGAAGCTTAATCAAACATTCAAAAACGCATCTTTTATTGTTCGTTTGATAGGTAATGTTACTTGGGATAAGTTAGGTGTCGTTTCTGTGTGGGACTTACCTACTGCTTCTGATTTTGGGCATGTTCTGCTTTTGAATGCGACGGAATCACCTCCTTCAGAGGGCAATGATGTTGCTCCAGGGAAATCTAATAACAGTGAGCCTTTTAAGGCTCCAACCATGTTTGATAATTGTAAGAAACTTTCCGATAAGTATAGGCACAGGTGGAGCTTGAATGCAGAGAAAGGTTATGTTGATATTGGTCTAGAGGCTACTACTGGTTTATTGAACTACATGGCGTTTGGTTGGGCTAAACCGAATTCTACATCGAATCTGATGTTGAATGCTGATGTTGTGGTTACTGGGATTAGAGAGGATGGCTTCCCGTTTGCTGATGATTTTTATATCACGGAGTCTAGTGTGTGCTCTGTGAAGGAAGGTACAGCTACTGGGGTTTGTCCTGACACTGTGTATGAAGAGGCAGATTCAGTTGGTTCTTCGGTGAATAACACAAAACTGGTTTACGGGCATAGGATAGATGGAGTTTCGTTTGTTAGGTATAGGAGACCGTTGAATGATAGTGATAATAAGTTTGATTTTCCTGTGAATTCAACTGAAAATCTGACAGTTATTTGGGCACTTGGGGTGATAAAACCACCAGATGTTATTAATCCTTACTATCTTCCCGTGAATCACGGCGGTGTGGAATCAGAAAACTTTGGGCATTTTTCGCTTAATCTTTCGGATCATGTGGATGAATGTTTGGGACCATTGGATGCAGAAAACAAGTATGATCAAGATGTGATCATTGCTGATGCCCACGCACCTCTTGTTGTCACGGCCGGACCATCTGTGCATTATCCAAACCCTCCAAATCCTTCAAAGGTTCTGTATATTAACAAGAAAGAAGCGCCGGTACTGAAAGTGGAAAGAGGGGTTCCTGTTAAGTTTTCAATAGAAGCAGGACATGACGTTTCTTTCTACATAACTTCAGATTTTCTTGGTGGGAATGCTTCTTTAAGGAACAGAACTGAGACAATCTATGCGGGTGGGCAAGAAACTCATGGAGTACTGTCGAGTCCATTGGAGCTGGTTTGGGCTCCTAATAGAAATACACCTGACCAACTGTATTATCACTCAATTTTTCAAGAGAAAATGGGTTGGAAGGTTCAGGTTGTTGACGGTGGACTTTCGGATATGTACAACAACAGTGTTAATCTAGATGATCAGCAAGTTAAGTTCTTTTGGACCATAGTAGGGGATTCAATATCGATTGCAGCTCGTGGTGAGAAGAAAAGTGGGTATCTTGCAATTGGTTTCGGTAGTGAAATGACAAACAGTTATGCTTATGTTGGTTGGTTTGATAGAAATGGAACAGGGCATGTAAATACTTACTGGATTGATGGAGAATCCGCTTCGGCTGTGCATCCTACAACCGAAAATATGACATACGTGAGATGCAAATCTGAAGAGGGAATCATCACACTGGAGTTTACCCGTCCCTTGAAACCGTCATGCAGTCATCGAGATAGACCAGAATGTAAGAATATGATAGATCCCACAACTCCTCTTAAAGTGATATGGGCAATGGGTGCTAAATGGACAGATGGTCAGTTGACTGAGAGAAATATGCACTCGGTTACAAGTCAGAGACCTGTCCGTGTAATGTTAACACGTGGATCCGCAGAAGCAGATCAAGATCTAAGACCGGTCCTGGGGGTTCATGGATTTATGATGTTCCTTGCTTGGGGAATTCTGCTTCCCGGTGGAATATTATCTGCTAGATACCTGAAACACATAAAAGGCGATGGCTGGTTCAAGATTCATATGTATCTTCAATGTTCTGGTCTAGCCATTGTCTTCCTCGGCCTCCTCTTCGCAGTAGCTGAGCTTAATGGTTTCAGCTTCAGTTCAACCCACGTCAAGTTCGGTTTCACAGCTATAGTTTTAGCTTGCGCTCAGCCCGTGAACGCTTGGCTAAGACCTGCGAAACCTGCTCAAGGAGAATTAATCTCTTCAAAGCGGTTAATCTGGGAGTATTCTCATTCGATCATCGGTCAATCAGCTGTTGTAATTGGAGTTGTCGCGCTTTTCACGGGAATGAAACATCTAGGAGAAAGGAATGGAACTGAAAACGTGGACGGGCTTAACTTGGCCCTCGGGTTATGGGTCTTCCTCTGTGTGGTTACTGTTGCGTATTTGGAGTACCGGGAACGAAGAAGAAGAAAAGCGAGGAATCTAAGCAGAGGGAATTGGGTTTTGGGGAATGTTGAAGAAGATGATTCGATTGATCTAATAGACTCAAGAGGAGGTTTCAGAGATAAAGATGATGAAGATGGAAATGGAGGGAGGATGGAAATTCAGTTAGAGCCGTTGAAATAATAGTATTTTTTTTGTTTATCTTTTTTTGTTTCATTACCGAACAAGAAAGAAAAAAAAACAAGAGGGAGTTTTGTCTTTTACTTATAAATGCAACGGTCGATATATTGTATCTATGCATTAGAATTGTATACTTTTGAGAATTTGAATTTTATATACTACACAATCAGTTTTGAGTTATTTTTTACTTGACACTTGAACGGTCTCTAATAGTTGATTTCGTCAGTGACTTATTCCTCGACTAATGCGTTTAATTCCAGAACTCGAAGGAGGTATGATGATAACGGTCGTTACTGTGTCGCCAGCGACAAGAGTATGTGAAAAGAATGTTGATCATGGGGATAAAGACTTGTAACCATTGTAAGGTATCTCAAATTCTTCAGTATCAAGAGTATGTGAAACAATGATTATCTCAACTATTTGTTTTAAAAATTCAAATTATCCGTCCAATAAAAACAACAACATCCAAGCACATCACTAAACTATTGTCATTAAAATGAAAATGCACAAAACTAACGTTATTTTCATTCAACTATATATATATATATATATATATATATATATATATATATATATATATATATATTTTATCGACGATTTTCAGTCGACTCTTTTTAAAAAACTTATGTACAAAAATGATAAATAATTAAAGTAGACTAAATTAGGAATCGTAGTCGATAATGGGTTCACCTAAGGTCAAATTTCTGTCAATCTTCCAAGGCAAATTAAAAAGTTTAGCCAAAATGAATTTGAAGATCTTGTTCACATTTATGTTGTGTGTTGCACTTGAAAAGAACAATGATGCCTTCATCACCTTCGCGTACGCTCTCGCCTAATATATCAAAATATCAAATAAAACCAAAAAATATATTTTTATATGGAAATGAATTATTCCAAAAATCCAAATGTCTAAATCATCATGAAAACGTAGAATATGAAAAAGGGTCTTAATTAGTTACGTGGTATGATTGGTATACCTGAGTGACAATGGTCCACTGAAGATTGGGTGGGAGCCGAACAAAGTCATCGAATTTTGTTCCTATTAGAATCGGAATTGCCGTCTGATAAAAGAAAACACAAATTTATAAAACTACCTTTAAGATAAAAGTATTTTGTTGGAATCAGATTCTAATGTTCATAAATAATAGATTTGTATAAGACACTATGCATTGATCAACTAATAAGAAAATTCGACCGTGCTAAACCCAAAATATGAACCACTTTTATGTAAAATACCGTAACGCCGACAAAAAAAAAAAAACAAGTTATTGAAACTTTTAAATGTTTTTTTTAACGATGACAAAAAAACATTAAAATCCTTCTAAAGTTTTTAGTATACATTTTTTTTTTTACAAAACTCAATCTAAATCGATATTGAAAATGTTTGGAACAACTCAAGTTAAATTTGGTTTCTTTACTTACTAAATTAAAAAAATAATAATAATAAACAAAAAAAATTGCTTTAACGTACCTTGTTCCATTTTCTTGCCTGGCTATACCACCCGAAGACTCTGCAAAAAACAAAACAAAACAGAAAATTACGAGTTTTCTTAATAAATATCATTTCAGCTAAAAAAAATAGAAGAATTAAATTGATGAAGAAATTAAAAGAAAAAACCTGTTAAGAGTAGATCGACTGGTTAGATCAAACATGAACAAGATTGCTACTGCATCTTTACAAGCAATTGGTATATGATCTTTTGATCTCTTTTCATCACCTACAATCATTTTCCAATCTCCTAATAAATTATTAACAAAGTACGTAATTGCCAACACACTAATTAATCACCAATCCATATTTTAATTTGATTAATTAAAATTTAATTTGACTCACCTCCTACATCCCAAATGCTAAACGAAATAGTAACTCCTTGAACATAAAAAGTTTTGTCCATCAAATTCAAACCCGTCATCTCCAAGAAACCTTGATTCTCATCTCCAACATATTTTATCTTTCAAAAAAAAACAAAAACATATGAGAATTAGTCAGTTAATCTAAGTTATACTATAATCAAACGGTAATAATTAATACTTAACACAAGAATTCATACTTACTACAAAAGTAGTCTTCCCTGTTTGACAATCGCCTAATAGACTAATCTTGAGACTAACCAAATCCGAATCCGAACCTGAACCAAACCTTCTAGTGGAAACAGTATGTTCGGTCGCAGTGTCGTCGTCTCCGTCGAAGATATCACCGGCTGTTGAAGAAATCCGGTGAACGATTTGCCGGTAAAGAATAGGTTTTTCGATGATACTTGAACAAGAAACGATTTTTCTCCATAAAAACCTAAAAAAATCTCCAAAGATTGATACCCTCTCGATGATTCTCCATTTTATGTTCACGTGAACTATTTTCCGGCAGAAAGGAGTTAACTTTCCGGCGATCTCATGGACTTTCTCAGCCATTGATGAAACAGAGAGAGATAGAGATGTGATCTTTTGGCGTTCACAAGCTCACATCTTCTTTTTGTCTTCCCTTTATGTTTTTTTTTTTTTAAGTTGTCTCATCGATGTTACTGTGTAAATTGGTAGTTATCGGTTTATATGGATTGGTAGTTGACCCGTCTTCTTAGGAAATACCTATATTACCCCTAGTTGATGCGTTTATTCCTTTCGGTTTTAAGTTCTTGGCGTGTTGTGATGGAAGGGTATTATAGTCAATTTAAGAGCAAATTATCTACCCATGAAGTAAACCCCAAGTGTACGTGTCACTGCTCACTAGTTATCATTTGATTATTCATCTTTTGTTCTTTTGTCAATATTTGATTATTCGTCTAAATTTAATCTTTATCGATAGTGTTCTCTTGTAGTTTGTTCTTATTTGAATACTTATTCATTTGTATTGTTTATCTATTAAATAATTATGCTTCCTACAGTGTATTGTGATTTGATTTAAGTAATTTCTATAGGAAATTTACCAAGATTACTGAGAAAGGAAGAATAATTTTATCAGTTGATGTGTTATGTATGTATTTGGGAACAGAAAAAGGATAATCAAATGTTATTTGCTCATAAATTTGAATAAGTGACAATGACTGTTGCTATAGTAACTCCATTTGAAACACAAAGCACGAGAATCTTGAGAAGCGTTTTGTTGAAGGAAACAATTTTGTTATTTTTGGTCTTTTCTTTTTAAAATAGGCTAAAAAGTATAGTAGTTTCTTAAAGAATGGGTATAAGCAAAGAAAAACATTTGTGGTCGACCATCGATACAGATGCAGTTACTGTTGGTAGTTCTATGTCACATTTATTACTTTTTATTTATTAATCTCTCGAAAGGGTTCCATCCCTTGTTTTAAAAATCGCTAGGCGCTAGTCGGGCGCTCGGCATGGGCCTAGCGATTAATCGGAAAATCGGATTAAAATCGGAGATTAATCGGGGATTAGTTTTAGGGTTATTTTAATATTTTTAAAATATATTAATCCAATATTGTAAAAATTTATGATTTTTATTACAAATTTATGATTTTTATTAAAATTTGAACACAAGTTATTGTAAAACATCACAAACTCTCCATTCAAATGATTGAATAACAAAAATAAAAAGTTTTTTTATACTTGCAATCTAAAAAATAATCGGGGTATATAAGATTAGGCGGAAAGTAATCGGATTAGGCGGTGAATAATCGGGTTACTGATTTTTTAGGGGATTAGTCATTAATCGAGGCGGATAGGGTGGGCCTAGCGATTAAGCGGGGAGTAATCGGGACTAGGCGGGGATTTTTAGAACAGGGGTTCCATCCAACAAAAAGAAATCTATTTACTTCCAATCTTGTTAACATTTATGTTTACATGCATCTCCGTTTATGAACAAATAACAATTTGTAAGTAAATTATAGACTATCAAAATCAATAGAGAATCTAAAATTTAATGGTTAATTACAAAAAATATTAATGGCATAGCTTTGTAGTTCCTGAATAGGGCATTTCAAACACACGCACAAAAAAAGGAATTTGTTGGCTTGTCCCTCTCGCCTCTTCTTTTATAACACTTCTGGAATTTTGTTATTCATCAGCAATATTTCTTTTAAAATATTTTATTTTTCATGTTTATTATACGTCAATACATGTTTCGAAACCATGACATATTAAAGCTTTTGTATCTTGGACGTTTTAAGTAAAACAATTAGATATGAGATGATTTTAGAGAATCTATATGCGGTGACCACATAAGATTGAAAAATTAGTTCTCTCTCATTTTCAATTTTATCGTCTACTGTACAACAAATTTAGACTATTTTGCCCTTAACTTCAACATTCATATTTCTCTCTTTTGTCTGGTATCTATGCAAGAAGAAAGAGAGAGTAGATGAGAAAGAAGAAAAGAAATGGTTTGGAGGAAGAAGATCCGGATTGGACAGTATATACAAATGTTGGATGGAGAATCAAAGCTTGAGATTATTTTAATCCTTTCTTGTAGAGAACTGTTATGAGAGTGGATCTTATAAGCATCCCTAGTTTCTGGGAATTGAAATTGAATTGGTGATCGTAGATAAGAATTAGATGAAATTGGCAATTAGGGGGATGAGAACGAGGTAGTGGTCACTACTATTCCGGTGGATCCTTTGATGGAGACGAGAAGTAGTTTGATTTCACCGGAATTATGACACTGCTAGTGGTTACTATTACTACGGTGGATCCTTTGATGGAGACGAGAAGTAAGACGGCGGTTAAAGGAGAAGAGAAGAAGGAAGCAACGTCGCCTGCTCTTAGACTCACGGCAGTGGAATTGTCACAGATGGGGGAGAAGATGGAGCATCTCGGAGACGGTAAAGAGAGTTGTGACGAGGAAATTGAAAAAAACCCAGTAGATTATTTCAAGTTTTCTTTCTCTTATTTGATTTCTGATGTCGATAAAATACTTTTTAACATGTTAATCAAATAGTTATCCACATAAATATTATAATATATGTAACTAGTTATTTGTATATGATATAACAAATGAGTTGCCACGATAAATATAAATTTATTACATAAATTATAAACTTATCGCGATACAATATGATTTAACATGATATATTTATAAACTTATCGATATATATTATGTTATCATGCTAACCTAATAGATAATCAGTTAACTCATAATATGTTCTTACTTATGTATTTGATTCGTTAGAATCAGATAAAATACGTCGATAACAATTTTATTATATTGCTAAATAATTTGTTATATATGGAGGGGTATTTTTGTCCAATTTATATAAATTGATGAGAGAGAATTAATTATATAAAAACTATAGATGTATTCTTAATTTATAAGTCTTCTGTGTATTTATATTAATATAGCCCATGATTTTATCAGACGTCAGTTTTGTTTGGAAATGTAGAAAGAATCTAGATAACGTGTATGTTTGTTGTCATGGAATCTTTATCTTCAATCAGAAACTTCGTCTAGATGATGTAGTTAAAAAAGTGAAAATTATAATTGTTTAGTCTTTATGCATGGTCCAATATATATACAGTGCCATAGGTGTATGTATACATACAGATAATGGTCTAACTACCAGAACCACCCAAGTTATTATATTTTTGATTCCGAATCAAAATACAACACATAATTTTTTCCTAGAGTATATGTTTATTGTAATTGGAGTTGGTTGATGATAATAGATTAGTAATTTCTTTGTTGGTGGAGTCTAACATCACACAATATTTAATCTCAACACTTGTTAATAATTTGATATTTGTCTTAACCAAATTTATGATAAATTAATGATATATTTAGACAAATAAAATAAAATTAAATCCACTGAAATTAACATGACTTTACTAAAGTTCATCTAAATTAGTCAAATACCTTGATACGTATTTAAAAATTCTCACATCTTATGATTCTTTTCAATAATAATCGTTCACTATAAACAGTTCAAACTATCCACAAATAAATAATTTAACATAAGACTACACAATAAATATATTAGCCATTTTTTTTTTTGATATTTTTGGATCGACAAAACCCGATCCATAGTCAATCCTTACTATACGGGATAACACGACTTACTGGAGTCGAATTCCGGTGGAGAAGGCGGAATCAAATGAACTTAACCACTTGACTAAAGGCACATCTCCAATAAATATATTAGATAAATAATTTGATCTTTGTCTTAACCAAATTTATGATAAATTAATGATATATTTAGACAAATAAAATAAAATTAAATCCACTGAAATTAACATGACTTTACTAAAGTTCATCTAAATTAGTCAAATACCTTGATACGTATTTAAAAATTATCACATCTTATGATTTTTTTCAATAATAATCGTCACTATAAACAGTTCAAACTATCCACAAATAAATGATTTAACATAAGACTACACAATAAATATATTAGCCTATAAAATCACAATTTATAATCTAACTTCCATTCCTCGATAAGTTGGTTCTTCCAAGGTAGACCTGGGCATATGGGTAACCCGTTCGGGTTCGGGTAAAACTCGTTCGGGTTCGGGTTGAATGGGTAATGAATTTATGGTCTATTCGGATATTCCTATTGTTTCGGTTCCAGTCTAGTTCGGGTATTATCGGGTTCGGGTCGGTTTGGGTAATACCTGAAGTTTAAAATCACTTTACATACTCAAATGATCAAATAAAGAGAATAGAACATCAAACATGACATTTAAATACTAAATCCAATCCAAAATAACAAAGATGACTATTTCACTCTTAAGTGTTAAGAGTAGATTCTAATTATCTATATACATATATAAAAAAGTCGTCGGACTTGCTTTCGCCGGTGTGGTGCTCCGAGTCTCTGCTTTAGGTCTTTCAGCAGGGCAAGAGTCATTTTTCGTGTTGGGCCTTTTCTTAAACTCTCATTTTTTGTAACTGAGTCTCACTTGTATGCCCATGGCTTTAGCCCATTTTGGGAAAAGCTTTTTAATATATGAGTTTGGTTAAAAAATATATATATATATATATATATATATATAAACATATGTGTATTGCATATATATAAGTATAGACTATATATCTAATTATCTATATACATATATAAACTCAAACGTCAAAAGTCACAAAACCTAAAACCTAGGACATACATATAAGTATATAACTATATAAGACTATATATTTAATTATTTATATACATATATAAACATGTGTATTTCTTCGGGTTTGTGGGTACCCTAAATGGGTAACGGGTAATCCCCGACCCGACCCGATACCCACGGGTAATCCAATACTCTACTCAATGAATTAATTTTCTAATACCCTAACCCGCCCCAACCTAATTTTTTCGGTCCGGGTATCGGGTCCGGGTTTTTTGCTCAGGCTTATTCCAAGGGATTAAAATGAATCTTATAAAGGTAATTTAATAAAAAAATAAAATAAGAAAGAACCAATTGATGTGTTGGACGGTTGGACCACGTGGATGCGGATCAAAAGAGACTTGATCAACTTATGGAAACTCATGATGATAGGTGTTTGTTACCGAACATTCAAGTTCAATGATGTGGCTGGTCCTAACTAACCAAATCTATTTAATTTCTTGTTTTTCTTCTTCTTTTCAATTACCAAAATCGGAATTGTCAAGATTCAAGAAGAACAAAGAGAATGACAATAATATGCAACGTAGCTAGACTTCTACTTGTCAAAATAATTCTCTGCATAGTCTCTCGAAAGCTCAGTTTTATCTACTCGTCTTTTCAAACATATATACAAAACACAATTTAGTGCGTTTATTCATGAATCCGCCCACTATACTCATTTCAATTTAGGTGAATTAGCCTGTTGATAAAGATAGATGCCAAAAACAAAATGAATGTGAATGACCAATGTAGCTTCGTTTACAATTACATTGTTGGTTTGACAAAGAAAGATTACATTGTGATTTGGTTTAAACCGGTTCATACCCGATTTACAAACCAGATGTGTCACAGAGTATATGGCAAAGTTTTGCAGAGCTCTTAACCAATGCTCTCATTGAGTTTAGAGAATCCAAGCTTCTTGAGTCTACTAGTTATCGGATTAGCCCAAGCTCGATCTGGATTCCCGCATTTCACATCCACAATCTCCACAATGTTCATTCTCTTCTCTCTTCTCGGGGTTCCTTGCAACGATACATTTTCAGAGCCAAGCATTGGAAGCTGATGAGTGCTTTTGGTATTGTGGTGACCCTTTGGTGTTCTAACATTATCAGAGCCAAGCATTGAAAGCGGATGAGTGCTTTTTGTATTGTGACCCTTTGGTGTTCTGACATTATCAGAGCCAAGCATTGAAAGCTGATGGGTGGTTTTGGCATTGTGACCCTTTGGTGTTCTAACATTGTTAACATTGCTGCTGCTGCTAGCTTCGTCTGATGATTTTCTTGGTTTTGTTCTTCTTGGAGTTGAAGAAGATGTGCCACAGTCTACTGAGACAGGGATTGTTGTTCTAATAGGTCTCGTTGTGGGAGTCTGAGGCGAAGGTTGTTTCATGGAGTCTAGCTCTCGTGTCATTAGAGTTGCGACTGTTCCTGTTGCTCCTATTTTTATCGATCCTCCCCCACCTTTGATCAGTTCAAGCTTCTGAACCATTATGAATTTTGTAAATTTTCTTTCGCCTCTGCGACTCTCTAAGAGGACACTTCTTGAGTTTTATCCGGCTTTACGGGTCTGAAAACAAATCTGAATAAGCAAACAAAGCATCAATATAGATGGATAAGTAACCTTCTTATTTCAAAAAGCAGCAAACCAAAGTACCAAACAAATACGCCACTAGTTTTGCAGTACCTTGATGAGGAGTTCATGTTTTCAAATTGGGGTATATGCGAAAAACGATTTAGTAGATGAAGCAAACTTTGAAGCAGAAAAGAGGAACTGAGAATTCCATAGATAGCACCAATTGTGAAATGAAAACTGAGAACAAAAATCAATAGTCTACTGCATCATAACTAAAGTCCTTGACTTTCAAGAACCTGAGTAACAAAAGGAGAATGAAACCTACATATACACAGTTTCAAGCCATATCCAGTGTTTTTAATGTAAAAGAAAAGAAAGATGAAATCAAAGCACTAAGATCAAACTCTAACCATACTAATAAGCTGAGAAGAAAAACATCAAAGCTATTTATAGATACTAGACATGACACATTTGAATAAGAGCTTGGAGCATATCATATTATACCACTGGTTCTCTTAACTAATATCAAACGTTTAGTATTTACTTGTTTCAATCAGATTGATTGAAATACAAGGTTGAAACTTGAACCAATGCAATGTCAATCACAGAAACGACTCAACTTTTATTATCAAAATCAATCTCTATCAATCAAAAGCAAGAGGGAAACACAATAATCGAAGTGATAAAAGGGGGGAGAAAGGAGGAAAACGAAAACCTAGTCACTAGTGATTTGAAGTAAAACAAACATGAGAACGACATTTTTATGATTTTAATCCTTGACCAGTCACATTCAACAGCCAAGAAACAAATCCCAGAAAAATGAGTCAAAATCACACAAGAGCAATCACAAAATTCCCCTAACTAGAAACAACCCTAGCTAAATAATATCAACAGATCACCAAACAATGGATTCGCACAATAAAAGCTCACCGATTTATAATCGATCAAGTGATCAGAAGAAAGCTAAACCCTTTTCAAATTTCAAAACTTCTAGAACTCCACGATGTAAATTGATCGAATTGGATTAAGGAACCGCATTGAAGATTAGTAGTATACGAAGGGAAAAATAAAAATCAAAACTTTGGTCTTTTGATTGGTTTTGAAATCTGAGTTTTCTTGTGGAACGTGATGGATTAAGCAGCGACTAGTCAACGTTCCTTGTTTACAGTGTAGAGTAGATTCCTCATTCTTATTGGACTCGGAGAGTAATAATGTTTTACTTTTTGACGAACAAGAAGAGAAATATGCAAATTATATTAAAATCCCTAATCTTTTGAGTCTATCACATTTTTCACCTTAAACTATCAATTGTATCAGAATCAGAATGATTATATAAAAACGCAGCCGTTTAAAACGCAGCCGACAAAATGTAGAAGTAGCTCCGGTCATTTCAGAAACAAGTTCTGTTCTGGCTGTCGTGTGTTTTGTCTAAGGGAGAAGCGAGGGAAGAGATTAAAAGATTAAACCTTTTTCGCCTTCATGGATTCGAAGTTGAGGAATTTCGTGATGGGTCTGTTTGTGATGACTGCGATCTTGAAAGGTTCTGGTGTCGACGCGTGGACTGGCGAGATTCGTGGTAGAGTTGTGTGTGATGTCTGTGCTGATTCTTCAATTGGGCCAGAAGATCATGTTCTTGAAGGTTAGTATCTCTGTATCTCTGCTTTCTGTCTTCTCTTTAATCAGTTTTTAGATGTTCGATTGCCGGGAAGAAGAACAATTGTCTGATTTTGTGAAATTCTTTTGATTCAGCTGTGTAGAACTCTGGATTGACTTTTATGTAGTGGTTCTTGAGAAAAGACTGTTGTTCTGATGGATTTCTTCAGAGTGATTACTGTTCATTTCAATAGCAGTTGTTTCTTGGGCTTCTCACACATCAAATTGGTGTGAATTTATCATTTAGTGCAATGTTTAATTGTAAATATTTTTTAGTTCTACAGAGTAGTTTATTAGCCGAAGCTAGTTGGTACTGTTAGTTCTTCTTTCTTGAGCAAATGGTGCATATCTATGTGAGTGACTGAGTGTGTGTGTGCCTGCAGTTTTTGCAGATTCTTATTTGGCTTTTGTAATAACAGAAATCAAATTTAGAGCGGATTATGGTTTGTATCATCTCTTGTCTCGTTGCAACTTAAAAGTTTGTTATGTTCATCATCCTTGTGTTTTTAGCTGCGCTTTTGTATTTGTCCGATAGTGTTAAATCGTTTTTGCAGATTATGTTATGCTTCTATGTGAAATCTTGTCAAGTTTTCTGATTCATATTTGGTTCTTTTAATTACATGAATCAAATTTAGAAGCCCTTATGGCTTGGATCATCTCTTGTCTCTCCGGAACTTAGTAATTAGTTTGTTCATCCTTGTTTTCGGCTAGTTTTATGTATTAGCCGATTGTGTTAAATGATTTTTCAACTGTGCTTCATATTTCAAATAGTCTTGTTGATAACTCAAAACCTGGATTGCTTAGAAGCCACTTGGTTTTATGTGTTTACATTGAACATGAATGCATATTACCATTCTGCTAATGAAATGAACTCAAATTGGCACTTTTAAACTGTGTTATGTGATCCAGTCATTTCATGTCATTGAAGGATCAATCACAATTTGCGAGTTGTTATTGTTCAATCTTTACAGGAGCTGAGGTTGCGGTTCTGTGCATAACGAAATCTGGAGAAGTTGTGAACTACCAAGCTTTCACAAACTCAAAAGGTGTCTACACAGTTGCAGAGACAATGCCAGAGAGTGAACGTTGGGACGCTTGCCTTGCAAGACCCATCAGCAGCTTCCACACACCTTGCAACCGCCTACACCAAGCCAATACCGGAATCAAATTCACTTATAACCGCCCTTCCGGTTTCTTTCATGCCGTGAAACCGTTTGTGTATCGACCACAATATGCACCTTCTTATTGCTGATTCACAGACTCTTTGTTAAAGTCCTTGTAAGTTTTTTTTTTTTTTTTTTTTACCTTGTAAGTTGGTAATATAATTGAAATATACTATCAAAATATGAAATAGTTTGGATTTGTAAAATGCTAATATGGATCAAGCTTAGATCTTCCTCAAGTGTGTTTGATTAAAGGATAAGAAGTTTATTATATAAAGTCTTTAGTCAAAGTCAAAGAGAGACTAGTCTCACAAGGCGGTGACGGGGGAGGTAAAAAACAGTTAATGTTGAATGGGTCCTACAGATGACGTGTCTAAATATTATAGGATCAACAACGTGTCTCAAGCTTTTTGTTGGAGTAAAAGACGAAAATATCCCTATCGTCATTCTTTGCGTCAGTCAACTGAAAAATTGAATTTTTGTTCTAGACGAGGAAGGAAGCCATAACTCTGGGAAATCAAAAATCGTTATAAGAAGAAACAGAGAGATTGCGACGGGGACAAAATTCTGATGAACCGGAGAATCTAAGAAACGTGTTTTGTCTAATTTCTTGCGATTATAAGATGATACATTGGTTGAAGCAGCTGCGATCGGCGTTTGGCGTCGCGTTTCTGTGGCTCGTTTGTCTCATTTACTTCACTCAGGTTTGCTTTGGATTTTCTCTTAGAGTTTTGGCAAATTCATATGTAAATGGCGATTCTCGCGTTGAGCCGAAACAGAAATGGTGATTGATTCTCGTTGCTGATTTTTTGATTAAGCAGAGAACGCATTTTTCACGTTGTCGTTGTATTTACGCTAAATCGTGATTAATATCGTGAATCAAATGCGATTAGAGATTCAAAAAAACTTGTGATTTTGAGATGTTTTTAAATTTGAAACGTTATTGGATCAATTTTATCGCGTTTTCCTCTGTTTTCGTGTGTTTTGAGACGATCACCATACATTTGTTGAGATCGGTTTGGTTAATTTCATGTTATTTGGTGATTAATTATGTAGAAACTTAGGATTAGCTATAACTAAATTGATTTTGGTGATCTTGGCGTATATAGGGATTTAGATCGTTCGTGTGGACAGCAGTTTCTTACCAGCTCAAAGACAGGCTGCAATTATCACCATCAGCTTCTCAGTTTGTCTTTTCGGTGGCCTTTTTTCCATGGAGCATAAAACCATTATATGGGTATGAATCTTCATGAGTACTGATGATCAATGTATTGATTCAAGCTAAATTGGCAGTGATAGTAGGAGCTTTGTAATAATGACATGTTTTTTTTGGTTTTGGTAGAATCGTATCAGATTGTATACCCATTGGAGGGAAAAAGAGGACGCCGTATTTGGTGTTATCGACTGTGCTCTCTCTTGTGCCATGGCTCTTTCTTGGTCTAGATTCAACCTCGCGAAGTTCAAGTCTTTATCTGATGATTTTCTTGACTGTACAAAATCTGGGATCAGCCATGGCTGATGTTGTGATAGATGCCATGATAGCTGAAGCAGTAAGACTTGAAAAGTAAGATTTTATGTTCTTTGGTTTTGGATCCGCACTTAGATCATAGTTTAATGCACTTTGTTCATTAGTTGAGTTGTTCTTTCATTGTTTATTAGGGCCTCGTTTGCTGGAGATCTTCAGTCTGTCTCATGGTTTGCAATGGCTGTGGGTGGAGTATGCGGTAGTTTATTAGGAGGCTATGCATTATCCAACTTGAAGATAGAAACAATATTCCTCCTTTTCACGGTACTACCGACGCTACAATTACTATCATGTGCTCTGGTTGAAGAAATTCCTGCTAACAATGAACCATTGCCTGAGTTGTTGGATTCGAACGAGTTTGAAGAGAAAAGCAAGTTGAGCAGTGATAACTATCGAGATACGAATAAGTCTAGTACAAGAAGAAGGAAGGGGCAGAAGAAAGGTAAGAAAGGAGCTTCCAATGGAAAGTCTGAGAAACAGAAGAAGCAATCAAAGTCTTTAGCTTCACAGTGGTTCCAGTCACTGAAAGCAGCCACTTTTGGTTTGGGCCGTGCGTTCAAGCAACCAATCATTTTGAGGTAATGCACGCTTTCTTAAATAGTCACATTTGAAATTTCGTTGAAGTGTTGCTTTCTCATTTACTTTCGCTGGTTGTCCAGACCAATGGCGTGGTTTTTCATTGCGCATATCACTGTGCCAAATCTCTCTACGGTCATGTTCTATTACCAAACCGAGGTCTTGCAATTGGACGCTGCTTTCCTAGGAACTGCCCGTGTTGTTGGTTGGTTAGGTCTCATGTTTGGAACCTTTATCTACAATCGCTATCTGCAAGATATGACTCTACGCAAGTCTCTCTTGTAAGTCTAAATATTTCCCACGCACACATCAAGACTTGGTTGCATCTGATTACTTCGTTCTTTAAGTGATTCTAATGAACAAAACATCATCGCAGGTTTGCTCACATCGGGCTGTCTATAACGATACTCCTCGATATGGTTCTAGTATCAAGAGAAAATGTGGGCTACGGAGTTTCAGACAAGACAATGGTGCTCTTCGGATCAGCTCTAGGTGATGCCATCAATCAACTCAAGTAAGTGGCTTTGCCTTATTTATTTTCTCTGGAACATTTCTTCCAAGAATTGTAACTCAAAATTCATGCTTTGTCGCAGATTCATGCCGTTCCTGATCTTGTCTGGTCGTCTATGTCCACCTGGGATCGAAGGAACACTCTTTGCGCTGTTTATGTCGATAAACAACCTAGGAAACACAGTTGGATCGTTCATGGGAGCAGGATTGGCTTCACTTCTAGGAATATCATCAGGGTCATTTGAGAATATGTTTATGGGCTTAGCCATTCAAGTGTTTTGCACTTACATACCTGTTTTGTTTCTTTTCTTAATTCCAAAAGAAGCTACAGGAGTATCAGCATCATAGAGCAGAGAGAGAGCAAAGCTAGTTTGTCATAGAAAAAGTTTTAGATCAGAGTTTTTGGATTCTATTTTTTTGGCAGTTTTTAACTTTCTTAAAGGCTTGGAATTGGCACATTATACAGAGTGGAGACTTGTTATATACTAATACTAAAAAATATACAGCCTCATTTTTTTCTTGTCAATCTTACTTAATCCAAAGATGCATAATAACATTTACCCTTTTTTTTTGGTTGGAACTAAAACAGATTTTAAATTTTGTTGAAGTATGGTCGTGTTTCATCATATAGGCTAATCTCATACAAAGTCATACCAGGTTTGTTTTTTTTCTTTCCAAAATAAGCTAAACTGGTACAACGATCAATTTTCAACTTACGTAATTAGATGGTTATTAATTGGGCTTTTTGAAGTTGGACTCACATGGAAAAGCAAAAAAAAAAAACCAAAAGTTTATCAGAGCCAGGTTTCGATCCTGGGACCTGTGGGTTATGGGCCCACCACGCTTCCGCTGCGCCACTCTGATTTATTTGTTATTCATCATACATATAACATAATTAAATCAACTATCTATGATATGGAGATTGTCCGACGGGTATCGCGCGGAGAACAAAAATGCCGAAGATAAAAAAGATGAGACGACGACCAGGAACCGGAAGATTACGTTGAAGTTTGCACGCTAAAAAGGTTTCATAATGGAAATGGATGCTTGATCAGTTTACAGAAGCTATGCAACCATCTTCGTCAGAGAAGAAAAAAAGATCGTGAAGCTGTGACTAAGAAATCCACATTTTAGAACTAAAAGAAATGTTAACTTTTATGCTTATGTAGAGAGTCTCATGAGATTTAAAAGTTTCTTGCGTTTCAAGGTAAAGCTAGGGGTGGGCATTTCAAATTTCGGTTTGGTTCGGAATATGTTATACCAAATTAGAACTTGAATTATATAACTTGATTCGGTTAAGCGAAAGTGTAGTGCATAAGTGATTGAAACCTACGAAGTTTCTAATTTGCCATGATGTCGGACCATGTACATAACGTTGAAGATTTGATTTTTGTTGCTTTGAAAATAAGATTTTTTTTGTTTTTTTTTTTAGTTATAAAATTTTGGGTGGAAGAAACGGCGACGTATCTTTTAAATTTGCACGCCATTGAAACATACTTCAAGTATGTACACGTTAGATCATTGATGACGCAACGTAATTAGATGATGACATTGGGATTAAGGAATTGAAAATAAAATAAAAACGAACATGACGAAAAATTTCTGTTAATTTCGTATGTTGTGGTGTACGCTAAATTATCTATCGTGAATCCGTGTATAATGTGATGTACTTGTATAGATCATGTAATTATCGTTGATTGTCGAATTTACACAATATTAAAATATTTGGATGATGTGATCTTACTTTTGTTACCATGTTTTGGCTGATAATCTATCTCTATTTAAACAAAAAATTTGAGATCAAATCTAAACTATTTTCATAATCGTTGCAAAATCTTTTCAAAAATGGTAACAAAGTATTTGTGTCCAACCGTAGAGAAATCAAAAAGACAAAAAAATCAATCCACTATCCATCAGATCTCCAAACATTTTTTAAAAAAGTTACTTAAAATGTTTATGTTAATTGATCGGGTTAAAAAGAATAAAGATATTTTTTTCCTTCCGGATTCTAAGCTTTCTGAGATAAATTTCCTAGTTAGAAAATTTGTGAATTTTGGATTATATTTTAACAAAATACGTCAGAATAAATCACTCAATTATTCAAACACAATAGCGATGTATAGAACAACATAATTATACATTAAGTAATATATATGGCTCTGAATACATATCAATTTCCTGTTGATTTAAAATATGCTAAAAGCAGAATGAAATTGTTTTAATAAATTACATACAAGATTATATAAAAAAAATCTGCACCTAGTTAATGTATAATTTTGTTGATAATTAGGATATAAGCATCCCTCGACCGTATAAATTAATAGTAGATTTAATTTCAAAATAATTAAACTTGCCACTTTGATACGGAAGTTATTTTCCTTTTTTTTTCTTTTCTGTTTTATTTTTCTTAATATAAATAAATTTGATTAAATATCGTGGAGAGTCCCAGAACCGGAAACATGGCGTCTTCATCATCCTCATCGTCTTCTTCGCTTTCCTCAATTCTCTCCATCGTCGTACTGATTCTAATTGTATCAACCGCTGAATCAGTGAAATCACCGTTTCATCCTCGCGATTTGCTTCCGCATTTGCCCAGACAAGTCTCATGGCCGATTCTCAACTCTCTTTACGGCGCTGCCGATCTGCTTCCTACTTTCATCGGAACAGCGAGATCTGGGAACGATTCCGTTGACTGGAAAGGGGCTTGTTTCTATGATAACACCGCTTGGTTAGAGTTTCATAACAAGTCTGGTAGCGAGTTTGGTGGAGGCACTCTTCACATTAAGGTGAAAATTAAAAATTGAAGTCAAAATCGAATTTTGTTCCTTTGTCAACTATGATCGCTCTGTTACTTATTGAGTGATAATGGGAGATTTTGGTATATGGGCACTCTTCAATTTTGACTTTTGAAACTTCTATTGTTGACCGTTAGTTAAGTCTAGAAGTTTTGGGATCCTGGAAATTAGGAAAAAGATTTCGAATTGTATCTGATCTTCTTCTCTAGTGTGTATTCTTAGAAGATGCTTCCTAATTCTTACTCAAGTTTGGATTTTAAGTTGTATCCTAAGTTTGATTATGTTGTTGGTGTTGTTTATGAAGGCGGATAAGGCGCATAGTTGGACGTGTATGGATCTTTATGTATTTGCAACTCCATATCGTGTGACATGGACTTGGTACTTCATTTCACGACAGCATACTGTGGAATTTCCGGAGTGGGATGGCAGAGCTGAGTATGAATATGTAAGTTGTTGTTATCTTTTGTTAGAATTATGTAAGGATTTAATATCTATGACTTTTGTTTTATGTGTGTTTGGCTACTTATTGGATCAGGTTAAGAACCAAGGAGTTTCGATATTCCTTATGCACGCAGGGATGTTAGGAACACTTCAAGCACTGTGGGATGTTTTTCCTCTCTTTACCAATACTGGTTGGGGGGAGAGCTCTAATCTTGCGTTTCTCGAGAAGCATATGGGAGCTAATTTTGAACCTCGTCCTGAACCATGGGTTACAAATGTTACAACTGATCAAATCCAGTCTGGTGATCTCTTAGCTATTTCAAAGATCCGTGGGCGGTGGGGTGGTTTTGAGACCCTTGAGAAATGGGTGAGTGGGGCATATGCTGGTCATTCCGCTGTATGCTTGAGAGACTCTGAAGGGAAACTTTGGGTTGGTGAGTCAGGAAATGAAAACGATAAGGTAACAACAACACTTCAAAGTTCTGCCCTAACGTTAAGTTTTAACTACAGCAAGACTTTTTTGATGAAGGTTTTTTTTTCTTGTCATAGGGAGAGGATGTAATAGCAATCTTACCATGGGAGGAGTGGTGGGCATTTGAACAAACAAAGGATGACTCGAATCCTCAGATAGCATTGCTACCTTTGCATCCCAATGTTCGTGCTAAATTCGACGTTGCTGCTGCTTGGAAATATGCTCGCAGCATGGAGGGTAAACCATATGGTTATCACAACTTGATTTTTAGTTGGATTGATACCGTTAGTGAAAACTACCCGCCCCCTCTAGATGCCCATATTGTAGGTTTTTTTTCTTATTTCTCACAATTTTTGGTCTTGATGATTGAATACACTTTCAGATTGTATTAAATTTGAGCTTCTCTTTCTTTCAGGTTGCATCTTTCATGACTGTTTGGAGCCAAATGCAGCCTGAGTATGCTGCTAACATGTGGAATGAAGCCTTGAACAAGCGACTGGGAACAGAGGTATTAAAATTTGTATCTTTGTTTCTATATACTTTTCGTACTTCTTAATCACCCTAATTTCTTAACATCTTCATGATTTTTTGATGATTTTTTTTATTTAGTAATTATCCTCGTTAGTGATGGTCTTAATATCTGATTCTGTAATATTTTATCTTTGATTTCTGTATATGATCTACATATTTCCCTGCTTCTATAATTTGACTCTATTCGTTGTCCCAATTTTTTCTCTTCTTCTCTAACATAGTCTAAATTGCAGGGTCTTGATCTTTCTGATGTACTGGTCGAAGTAGAGAAGCGTGGATCCTCATTTGACAAACTACTGGCAGTACCTGAACAAGACGATTGGATATACAGCGATGGTAAATCAACCTCATGCATCGCTTTCATTCTCGAATTGTACAAAGAAGCTGGCTTGTTCGGTCCACTTGCTAATTCTATTCAAGTCACGGAATTCACGGTAAGAATCAGTACACAGTCTCTGTTTCCCTTCCTGCACGCAACCTCTTGTGACCATTTTCTTTTTTATATTTTTTCAATCTGCAGATCAAAGATGCTTACATGCTCAACTTTTTCGAGAACAATGCAAGTCGTCTTCCTACATGGTGCAATGCCAATGACAATGTGAAGCTTCCTTACTGTCAGATACTTGGGAAGTACAGAATGGAACTTCCTGGTTACAATACTATGGAACCATACTCGCACATGAATGAACAATGTCCTACTCTGCCTCCAAAGTACAACAGACCAGATAACTGCTAGAATACAACTCTTATCTCTTCCTCAGATGTCTGAATTTTAGGAAAAAAAGTTAAATGTAATACAGTTGAAAATTCAACAATTACTTGATCTGTTTGTATATATATCATTCAGGTTTGTAGCAGCTGCTCATCATGTAACTGTTTGGATATTTATACACACAAATAGAAAATTTAAAGTTTTATCTTTTGGACGTCTTGAACATAGTCATCTTCCGGTTTAGTTTGGTTTATCTGGATTGAACCGGTGTTGTTTAATTCGCATCATCGTCGTACAGAGAAAGTAGTAGCAAAGCTTGAAGCTTTCGATTTCTAAATGTGCGGTATGTCGTTATCAGGACAGATGATGGGCCATGTCGTGGCCCGAACTCAGATGATCTTGTCTCGAAGTAACTTCGCCGATTGTATACGGTGTCAGGGGGTGAGAGTTTCCAAAACCCTAACAATGGGGACTAAGCGGCGACCCACTTGCCCTTCTTGCGATAAACCTAGCCAGCTCTGCCTCTGCAAGAAGATGCGATCTCCATGTTTCGATAATCAGGTGAGTGTTACTATTCTTCAGCACAGTCTCGAGAGAAAACACGCACTTAATTCAACTCGAATCGCTAGATTAGGGCTTAAGAATGTTGGTGTGACTACTGTTTTCGATGTACATGATGAGGCAGAGTTCGTAATCAGGGTCATTGGATCGGGTTGCAGCAAGATTGGCACGAATCAGTCAGATTTTGATTATAGGCTAGAGAATGTTGCTTCTTTGGAGCTTGATGAGAGCTTTAAGTTAGGTATTAATGGAAATGTGGAGAACTTAGAATCTGAGAAGAATGTGGTGCTTGTTGCTCATAGAAGCTTGAAAATTGCTGAAAGTTTGAAGCTTTCTCAACATTCGGGTGAAATGTCTTGTCGGGATTTGCGGGTTACAGATAAGATAGGTTCTTGTGAAGAAAGTAGATCAGAAGATTTGATAAGAATCTGTATGAAGAAACAAGGTGTCATCAGCAATGTCTCACACTCTTTGATGCTTGAAACCAGTGTGGAGGATTCTAGTTTTGATCATATATTGGGTTCTCCTGCCGCCATGGATGTCTTGGCGAAAGGGTTTGTTGTAACAAAGTTCTCAGAAGGGAAGCGAGAATTTGAACTTGAGGTTCCTCCTGGATCAGCACTATTGTTCCCGAGCGAAAAATCGGTGAAGATCAATGATCTTAAAGAGAAAGAAGAGTTGCAGGTAAGGAATCTGCTTGTTCTTGATGGGACATGGTCAAAGGCAAGAAGAATATACCTTGAGAATCCATGGCTAAAGCTTTTACGTTGCCATGTGAAGCTAGAAATGGAAGGTACAAGTATATACAAAGAAGTTCGAAGGCAGCCAAGAGCGGGATGTTTATCGACAATAGAGAGTATTGTATACACGATGAAGGAGATCGGTGAAGATCCCGAAGGTTTAGATAATATGTTGAATGTCTTTGAATCCATGGTTGAAGATCAAAGAAGATGTAAAGATGAGAACTTTGAAAAGATTATCTGAAAGACAAAATGACTTTGCTGTTGTAACATGTAAGCTGAATGAATCAGATTCTTCAATTTTGATAAATTATGCGAAGTTGGAGTCGTTTTTGGCAATTTATTATATTTGGGGATGAACAAGAAAATTTCATAGTTCTGGGCTAATATGTAAATTATAGGAAATATAAGTTTTGTTGAGTTAAAACTTTTGTTGTCTTCAAAATTAACCCTACGAATTTGAACTCAGAGAGTGTTTGTTTCGTCTCCGAATGCTTTCAATACGCAGAAGCTTATTGACTCTAGCCAAAGAGCAAAAAGATTTGTTTTTGTTGTTGTGTAATCTCCGAGCTCGATTTGTATCTACAGATAACTATGATCCACCATTTTCGCCTCTCTCAAAACCCACTAAACCTCCAAAAGAGAAGAAGAAGACGAAGAAGAAGCAAGATCAGTCGTCGGAGCTGAAGATTCCGATGATTTCAGACCTTCCTTTCGATTTTAGGTATTCGTATTCAGAAACCAACCCGGAAATTGAACCAATTGGATTCCGTGAACCGAAACGGTTTTCTCCTTTTGGACCGGGTCGATTGGACCGGAAATGGACCGGTACTTCCGCACTAGTTTCGCCGGAGATTGATCAGAGTCAATGGGTGGAGGAGAGAGCAAGAGTTCTCGGCGAGCCTTTGACAGAGGAAGAAGTTACAGAGCTTGTTGAACGGTATCGGCATAGTGATTGTTCACGACAGATTAATCTCGGTACAATTTTGAATCTTTTTGCCTAAAATGTTTAGCTTTGAAATTAGTTTTCTTGTTCAAATCGAACCATCTTCAAAGTTAAGAACTTTCTTCATCGTTTCTTTGAAAGTTGAAACATTGAGTAACTAACTTATGTGATTGGTCTCTTCTAAACTTTGTGGTGTTATCAGGGAAAGGTGGTGTGACTCACAATATGATAGATGATATTCACAACCATTGGAAGAAAGCTGAGGCAGTGAGGATTAAATGCTTGGGAGTACCAACTCTTGACATGGACAACATATGTTTCCACCTCGAGGTGTCTGTTATTAGATCTCAAGAACACGGCTCTCTTCTTCTTTTGGTTGATCTAATTTTCGTAAGTATTCATCCTGATCTTACTATACTTGTGTTCTTGACAGGAAAAATCTGGTGGAAAGATTGTATACAGACACATAAACATTCTAGTTTTGTACCGGGGAAGGAATTATGATCCGAAGAGTCGTCCCATTATACCACTCATGTTATGGAAGCCTTATCCACCGATATACCCAAGACTTGTAAAGAATGTCGCCGATGGATTAACATTTGAAGAGACCAAAGAGATGAGAAATCGCGGGATTCATTCTCCTGCCTTAATGAAACTTAGTAAGTAGTACATTCGTCGCAAAGTTCTTGGTCATTTTTCTGGTTTTCCTCAGTTTTCATTGGCTTATTTGTATTGTGATACAGCTAGGAATGGTGTCTATGTTAATGTCGTGGGAAGAGTGAGGGAGGAGTTTGAAACAGAAGAGATTGTGAGACTAGATTGCACTCATGTTGGGATGAGTGACTGCAAACGAATCGGTGTGAAACTAAAGGTATAATAAACTCTAAATGGATTGCTTGTCTTATCTTCTCTGTCAGATTCTGTAGGAGATTGATCTTGATGGTGTGATCAAAATTGTAGGATTTGGTTCCATGTGTTCCCATATTGTTCAAAGATGAGCAAATCATACTCTGGAGAGGGAAGAGGAATGGTGAAGAAGAGCTTTTTTCACTCTGCGAAAACTTTAATCCGGAACAATGATCATGTGATCTTGGTTGATTTGTATATTGCATTACAAAATAGGGAAGGATCCAAATTATGTATTTTCGAAAAATAACTATGAGTTTCGGTTTGATTTAGCTCATAATTTGATTTCGGTTTGATTTAGCTCATAATTAGATTTCTAGAGTAATCAATCTACTTTTCTTTTTGTCATCTTACCTTCGAACACTAACCATGTTCAATTACTCAAATCGCCGGTTCAAAACCAAACCGGTCAATAGTATTTAAAACAGCTAATGGGCTGAGGTAGGGCTGGACTTTTAAACCGAACCGAAATTTCAAAATATCTGAATGGATACTAAATTTTAAAACCGAAAGAACCGAAAACCGAATGGATCCAACCGATAACCGAACGGATAACCGAAAGCTCAGGCCTAATAAAAGTTCTAAGAGTGGGCTTAAAAAAAGCCCAGAACTGTATCGTCATAACTATAATAAAGTAAGCGAGACATTTAAGGAGCTTTATTTTCATTTCTCTTCCCCGTAGCGAAATTTTAGGTTTTTTTATTCCGTCGTAGTGATGCAGCACCCACCGTCAAACGCCGCCGGAGCAGGACAGATACCATCGGGACAGCAACAGTTGTGGATAATGATGCAACAGCAGCAACAGCAGCAGCAGCAGCAGCAGCAGCAGCAGCAGAGGCAGTCTGCGGCGTTACTAGGTCAACAGCAGTACGGTGTTGGATCTCAGAATCCAGGATCCGAGGTCAAATCGTTGTGGATCGGAGACTTGCAGCAATGGATGGACGAGAACTACATCATGAGCGTCTTTAATCAGTCTGGCGAGGTAATTTACTTCACTGAGATTATGAAAATCCTGGGAAATAGTTTTGAAATTCGAGAAGAACAGAGTCGTGTTTTTACTAGTTATAGTCTTTTGCTTATCATGTAGAAGATTAAAAAGTATTGTTCTTTGTTTGTGGTTTCAGGCTCAATCAGCTAAAGTCATTCGTAATAAGCTGACGGGACAATCTGAAGGTTATGGATTCATTGAGTTTATCAACCATTCTGTAGCTGAGCGGGTTTTGCAGACTTACAATGGTGCTCAAATGCCGAGCACTGAACAGACGTTTAGGCTCAACTGGGCTCAGGCTGGGGCTGGAGAGAAACGACACCAGACTGAAGGGCCTGACCATACGATTTTCGTAGGCGACTTGGCACCTGAGGTGACTGATTACATGCTCTCGGACACATTCAAGAATGTGTATGGGTCTGTCAAGGGGGCTAAAGTTGTGGTTGACAGGACCACTGGAAGGTCCAAGGGTTATGGGTTTGTCAGGTTTGCGGACGAAAATGAGCAGATGCGTGCCATGACCGAAATGAATGGTCAATACTGCTCGACCAGGCCTATGCGTATTGGTCCAGCTGCCAATAAGAATGCTCTTCCGATGCAACCAGGTATGTTTTATATGTAGGAATGGTGTGCATTGAGTATGTTGAATGGTGTATGAAGTTTGTTTGTGTTTGTTTAACCTTCGATGTTGAGCATTATAATTGAGTGTCTTTTTTGCTTGCTGTATTTCTTTCTGATCAGTGATGTTTCTTCTTTCAATTAGTTCTCAAAGATTAAGAGTTCTTATCTGCTCCTTTTCCTTTCGGTTTTGGACTTTCTGCACAATGAATTTTGATATAGTAAAGCATCCAAAAACTTATAAAAATCAGCTCATGTTGTCTTAAAGCAGGAGAACAAGTGGCTCTCTTTGGGGGAGCCTGGAACTGATTTCAGCTGAAAATGATACCACTTTAATGCGTGGCCTCATTTAGGTCAGTTGGTTATGTTATCAGAAGAAGTTACATATAAGTGGCTGTTATTAGCCTACAGTTTCAAATTACTTTCAAGTTCCTTACTTATCACTTAGACGTATTTTATTTTTGAGCCTTTTAACTTCAAATTCATTCTTTTTATATTCCGTAGCTCATTTTCCCAGTATTTTATTTTGACCTCTACCTTAAAGTTAAATACTTCTCTAAGCAAACTGTTGCACGTATATTTCCGTCTTTTCATAATAGTTTTCCTCTCTAGATTTATACTATTAAACTTTGGCCAAATCAGTGTCCTACAAGTTGATTACTAGGAACTTCTAATATTGAAGAAATTTGGATGTAGGGTGAAGAGTTTCCTTTCATTATTCTATGCCTGAGTGTTACGTTCCACATGCACTTACTGTTTGATATCTACGCTCAACGATTTGTTATCAATAATCAACTGAATTCAGATTTTTGCACTGTATGTTATTTTGTTTCTTTGCTGGTATGGTATCTTCTTAGGTGTTGATGTGAATGATTTTTGCAAAACTTGTTTGAGTGAACGTCTGTTGTTCTGCAATTTAGTTTTAGTTTCTCACCATGTCGAGTGGGTTTTATGCAGTATTGATAGAACTTTCCATCTCTCTTAAGTTCACCCATCTGTTATTTGCAGCTATGTATCAAAACACTCAAGGAGGAAATGCTGGCGATAGCGATCCAAATAACACAACAGTACGTAGTTAGTTTTCTTTTGTTTTTCCCCAAAACCTTTAGTCTGATGTTTTTGATAGACTGCAAGTGTAATGCGTTCTACTTTCAGATTTTTGTTGGAGGTCTGGATGCTAATGTTACAGACGATGAATTAAAGTCAATTTTTGGTCAATTTGGGGAACTTCTTCATGTTAAAATTCCGCCAGGAAAACGTTGTGGATTCGTTCAATATGCCAACAGGTATAAAACATCATATCAACCATCCACTGTGAATAGAAAAACCCGAAGCATTCTTTTCTTGCTTACTTCATTATTCTCTTTGTTGTGCTTCAGGGCGACTGCAGAGCATGCACTTTCGGTACTGAATGGAACACAATTAGGTGGACAAAGCATCCGTCTTTCGTGGGGACGTAGTCCAAACAAGCAGGTTAGTTTGTTACCTGTTTTTACCTTTCTTCCACAGTTTGTCAAATCTATACCTTTAAAACTTGAGAGTGATATTATGAGCAGAATGATTACCTAAACTTCATGTTCACAGCCTGATCAAGCGCAATGGAACGGTGGTGGATACTATGGATACCCTCCACAGCCACAGGGCGGCTATGAACCATATGGTTATGCAGCTCAACCTAATCAGGATCCTAATGCGTACTATGGCGGTTACACTGGCTATGGCAACTATCAGCAGCAACGTCAGGTAACTCAATTACACTGACAAACAACAATATTTTTCTTAAGATTTACAACATGTGAATATGTTCTTACCTATCTTGTTTTTCCAATGCAGTGAAACATCAACATCAGCTTTTTCTACCAATGTCTTGGAACAAAAGATGTGTCATTAAGTCTTTTTAGGACTTTTAGATTTTAAGAGTGCTCTCTTTTTACTAGATGTGAGTTTTATTTTGCAAATGAGTATCTTGGATTTGCTATGAACAAATTGTTGGATGAATGTTGAAACTTTATTCTGTTGTTTTTTTTATAAAAATAATTATCCAAAATTAATCGGATTTATGTCAAAATTAATAGTATATAGTCTGATAGAAAATCTAACATAAAAGCTTATATGATTACTGCCAGAAGTGTATTTGGTAATTTACGAAATAAAAAGTAAAGTTCTTCGCTTAATAAACAAAAAAAGCTAAAATGTAAATCCTTTTCCTCACTCTCAAATTTTTCAGAGGAGGAAAGCTTCTTTCGCTTTTATTTCAGATCAATCGGATCTGAAATTGTTTGTTTTTGGTTCCAATCAATTGCTAGATTTTCAATTCTGGCGTTGATTCGGTTTGGGTGTCCCTCTTTTGGGCTTCGCTTCCCCTGTTGGGGCTTTGGTTTTCTTCTCACGGACCGGTGGCTCTTTTAGCACCGTTGCCGTCTATGTTTGCTCGGTCGTCTCATCTCCGGCCACGCCTCTGTCAGAAACAAACTCAAGCTTGGAATGGATCCGACGAAAAACGAAGACAGCTTCGTATGGTGTTTCGGATTCGTACCGGTTTGGTGACAACAAGCCTATGTTTGGTGAACTTAATTTTTTGAAGATAAAAAGCTTTTTGTAGAAGATGAAGATGAAGATGAATAAGATTTGCATTAAGTGGAGTCAAATTCTCATCAAAGCTTAAATGGAGATTTCGCCTTAATTTGTTTGGGTGAAGAATGAGATCTATCGCAAGTTTTGCGTAAGTTTTCCGGCGATTCCGGTCGGGATTGAAGTTTCCTGGCGTTACAACATTCTGCCGTGATCCTCGACTCCCATCTCTTCGACTTCCCACGTGTCATCCAACCTGTTTCGCATGTGCCACGTGTTCTCTGTGCTAGACACTAGACACCACTTTTTCTTCAATTAAAGGTTTACTTATCTGGGCTTTTAGGCTTTTCTTTTGTTTTAGTTTATTTTAGTGTGTTTGTAAAATATTGGCTTGTATCACTTGGCTTGTATCACTTGGCTTTTGTATTATAAATAAAATACACTTGTGACAAAAAAAAAAAAAAATCCTTTTCCTCACAAGTAGACGGTAAACAAACGTGCAAAATTCCAAAGGTGGAAACGAATCACAAAATTTTCCACAGAATTGATATAAACTACACAAATTCTCGGTGCACAAAGGAATAAACTTTAAAATGTCTATTGAGATCTTATCATTGCGTTATAAATTTGAGAGCCATTTCTTCAAGCTGAGCTACGGAAAGAGAATCTGTGTTGATTTTTCCTTCATTTTCTTCATTGTCAGAGACGATCTTCTTTGCTCTTTTGCGGTTTCTTCCTGTTTCTTCTTCTGATGATCCAGAACCATCATGGCCTTCTTCTTCTTCTTCTTCTTCTTCTTCATCCTCCATGGCTCCTCTCTTCCTCTTAATCTTCTGTTTCATTCTCTTTTCTCTCCTCTTTTCCCTCTCTACTTTCTTGTCCTCAGCATCAGCTTTCCTCATTTCCGCTCCCACTTTCTTATAGAAATCCTTCCTTTTCTCTGCAAAATTCAACAACCAATTTACACATGCTTTGTAAAAACTGATTCATTGCTAGTTTGTGTGAACAGAATAATAGGGATTTTGATGTAACTTGAAGTTCATGTTCCTCTACCTTCATCAAGGGCTACTTCAGTCCCTGCTGTAGCAGCTACACTTGCTAAGGGAGCCAAGGAATTGCCTTCCTCATCAAGCACAACCCTCGACCCAAATGGTCTGTGTAGATTGATCTTCAGCTTCTTGTTTTTCAAAACCCGAGTTCCTTGCCTGAAAATTCAAAGGAATTTTATAAACATATATAAGCATGAATAGACTGGATCGAATGAATGAAAAAATAGTTAATGGAATGTGAAAACCATACATGGGAACTTCTTCTTCCTTGGTTGATTTTTCTACTTCTTTGCCCTCTCCACGTGGCTTGAGAGCAAAATCTTCTTCCTCTAAATCTTCACCAAGAAGATCTTTTTTTACAACCAGAGGTGCTTCATATTCCTGTGCATTCTCAGGCTCCATAGCGATAGAACTCTCAAAGACCCCTTTTTTCTTCGTTTTAAGGTTTGTAAATCGGATTCTGGGAGTCATTGGCAGACCAAGTGAAGCAGAAAAGTTTTCAATCGACAGCTTTGACACATCAAAAATCTCTTTATCTCTTCTTTTGTGGATGGACCTCAAATATGTGATGAAGGCTCTCTGAGCAACACCTTGAAGATCTGGATACTTGACTAACAAAGCAGCCAAAAGCCTAGAAACCTCCTGCAACTTTTGGTTGTTTGCCTGTGTGAACAATTTTTTTTTTAAGTCAAATGTTTTCAACCATAGTCGAGACTAAAAGAAAATTGAGAACGGGATCTACTACCTTGATGAGTTTTACAGGCACTTTAGCTTCTTGTAATTTCTCAATCATTTTTTCCTCCGAAGGTGTCAGAAAGAGGAGCGACTTCCCTTGAGTATAGAAACGAGCTGTACGCCCAACTCGGTGAATATAAGAAGCTACATCTTCAGGACAATCCACCTATAAAATAAATACGATGACATCACACTTCAACCCTACAAGATCAAAGAGTATTGTAATTCTGAATGTGGATTCATACCTGAACAACCCAGTCCACAGCCTTATCAAAATCAAGACCTCTGGCAAGAACATCGGTACAGAACAGAACTGATTGTCTCTCAATGAACTGAGAGTATACTCCCATCCTTTTCTCCTGACTCATTTTTCCATGAAGGCTCTTCAAAGGTATTCCAGGCCGGAGCTTGTTGAATGCTTCATGAACAAATTTGACCTGCCCAAAATAGTGATCCGTTTATCAATCTCAAGATAGAAAAAAGTAGCAGAATAAAAGTGGAACAAACTATCTCCATGTTGATTATTCAAAGAGGAAGAGAGGTAAAATAATCTAACCTGTTTCTTGGTGGAGAGAAAAACAAGAATCCTGGAATTAAGGTGAGTTTTGATGAAGCTCCATAACATGTCTAATTTCTTTTCAACTGGGACAATCATCACAGTCTGCATCAAGGAAGCTGGAGTAGCTGTAGGCGCCTCTTCATGTACACTAATGTACTCAGGATCTCTCAAACTGAGTCTTGCTAAATCCTTGACTTTCTTAGTTTGGGTTGCAGAGAAAAGCAAAGTTTGTCTGTGCTTAGGCAACTGTGAGATTATAGGATCCAACTGCCCCTTGAATGCAGAATCAAGGACACGGTCGGCCTCATCTAAAATCAGAATCTGCAACAAAAGAGAACACATATTATGCATCTCAAATCAATAAGACTAAAGAAATTCGGCACACAGAAACATAGACGGAGACAGGGGATACCCATGGTACATTCTAATGTTCATAAACGTGTAGGAGAAAAAGGTAACTGCTACCTACTAACCTATTTTTTTCCTTAATATCCGCACAATGATTATAGATAGAGTTAAAACACAAAATGCCCAAATATTCTGTTTGGGGTAGTGAAAACATGATCAATACCTGAAGATGTGAACATTCGAAGTTTGGAGTCTCATCCATATGCTGCAGAAGCCTACCAGGAGCACATACCAAAATATTCATCTCATTAACTCGCTCCTTCTCAACATCAACTCCTTCACGACCACCAATTAAGAGCCCCGCACTGAACTTATGAAACTTTCCTACTTTATTCAAAACGCTGAAAGTTTGAGCTGCCAATTCCCTTGTTGGAGATATAATTATGCATCCCACTCCATCTTCAGGACTCCATCTCTCCCTATGTAACTTCTCCAGAATCTAAAAACACACAACAATCCATTAACATCTATCAAAAACCAAACATGATCAAGAGAAAAAGCTACACAGAGCAATAAACTCTATCGACTTTACCGGAATAACAAAAGCTAGAGTTTTGCCAGAGCCAGTTCTAGCAGCACCGAGAATATCTCTTCCACATAAAGCATGAGGAATAGCAGCGCTCTGAACATCAGTCATGTCAACGTATTTCGCATCTTTCAATCCTCTTTTGGTTTTATCCGATATCGGTAACTGAGCAAACTTCCTTACACCTGCGTACCGCGAGAAAACGGTGCCGTTTTTGCCGTCTTCGAACTTTCCGATCTTCGAATCTTTAGGAAGAGGACGTAATGAAAGTGGATTGGATCCTGAATCCGGTTTTTGTGATTCGATCCACTGGTTCAGAAGATTTATTTCTTCGACTTCGTTGAGACGAATCTGCTTCCGCATTCCCTTGGTCTTCTTAAGTTTTACCATCTTGACACGAACACGAAATTAGAGCTCCGGAGATAGAAAAGCTTACGACTTGAGATGCTAGAATTGGCAGGAGAGAATATATAAATTAGGGTTTTAAGAATTGGTAGATTCACAAGAAGAAGACGATGAAGCAGCCAATTGAAGGGTTTAACGATGACGATGTTTTTTCTTTATTACCACAAAAACAAAAAACAAAAAAAACTAATCTAGGCCCAATAAGATTGATATCGGCCCAATAAATAGGCCTTTTTCTTTTCCTTCATCTCTCAAAAATCTCTTCCCAAAGGAATTCCTTACCAAACAAAACTAATTTAGGCCCAATGGCCAAATGGGCCTTTTTCCCTTCTCTAGATCTCTTCTGATTCTCGAATCTCTTCATTTTGTCTTCGTCTTCTTTTGTTGCGATACATATTTATACATACACACACATATATACATACATGCGAGTACACCGGACTGTGAATTTCCCGATAAAATTGTGTGAAATTTTGAACGAAATTGATTTGAACATGGCAATCGCGAAGAAATTGGAAGATGAGATCTCTCGCTCTTCTCCTTCGTCATCATCATCGCTGAACGAGGCTCTGTTATTCTCTACTATGTGTATCATCGGCTTACAAGTCCATGTGCACATCAGCGATGGCTCAGTTTTTTCTGGGATATTCTACACCATCTCTCTTGAGAACGAATTCAGTACGTTTCCTTTGGGTTTAATGAGGTTTTGATTTGGTAATTTGTGTTTTTCGTTGATGAAATTGATTCGAATTTGTGTTGGCGATCACAGAGATTTGAATAGGATCTTACGAGATTATTATGCTCATTACTTAATTGTTCATTGCCAGTGTTTTCGATTTGTGTAATTATATGTTAGCATTTTGGTCTGTTTCTGAATTTTGTGGTTTGATTTTGGATTAGGCATTGTGTTGAAGAATGCAAAACTTACTAAGAAGGGAAGAAGTAAATCGAATGTAGCAAGTGGGAACATTGTGGAGACACTCGTGATTTTGTCTTCTAATATTGTTCAAATTGTTGCGGAGGTTGATCTTTTTTCTATGGTGATTTTACTTCTTGAGATTCGTTTTAAGCCAGATTGTGTGACTTTCTTATGGTTTTTGTTCGTAGGGAGTCTCGCTTTCGTCCAATGTTGCAGGCGAGATGGAGGGTGAAAATGTTGTGTCGGCCGTGGGAGTTTCTTCCGAGACTCGTTCTTGTATTGCAAATAAGTCCATAGATTCTGGCAAGAACAGAAGGGGCACTAATCGTAGAAGGTAAACTGTGTAATAGTTGTTATAAGTTTATATTCAGAGAGAAAAGTTGAAGGTTAAGGATTATAGATTCATCACCACTTTATAAATCTTGTTTTGCTCCTTGCACCCTCTTGTCTTTTAGTTTTGTTTCGATTTACTCTACGGCTTTAGGAAAGTTTTTTAATATCTTTAATTTATGAAACAGGAATTCCGCCAAACGTGAAAATCGTTTGGAAAATAAAGCAAGAACCTTGACATCTGGGAAGGTAAACGGAACCGCAGGTGCCATGAAAGAGCCAGGGGAAAGAGATGAGGCTGGTATTTTACAGGTAGCTTTGTCTTTTCTGTATTGTGGAATTTAACTAAGTAGTTTTCCTATTGTGGTGGGAACTGGGAACCATTACAAGATGGAAGTGAAACCAGCCTCCATTTAGTAGAATGTAGAATTATGCACTTGGTTATCGGTTTCTGTAATGGGTAGACATTAAAGTAGATGCTTTGTCTAGAGTCAATGATGAAGATTCTTGTCATGTTGTTTACTTCAGCTTTCACATTCTGAGTCCCTTTCTTGGTTTTCACTGTCTTGATACTTTTTCTGTTTCCTCTTTTGCAGAACAAACATCATCCTAGCTCACTGAACCATCAACGGTATGGATCATCAGTATACTGTTTTTGGTATATAACTAGTGTCCTGTTAAAATCTTTATCTCCGTCTTACTATTGCCAATATTTAACCAAACCTCTACTTATATCTCAGTTTTAGCAATCTAATTTTCTGGCTAAAATAGACCTCTCTGTGTCAGTGCTGCAGACTGAACTCTAAAGTTTCTATGTTTGACATATCAAATTCTTAAGTTTCCGTAGGTAACTCTCTGATTCTTGTATATTTTTTTGGCTGACAGACAGGCAGGAGCCCGCATTTTGAAGCACAGTAAAAAAAATACTGACGTTCATCAGGAGGATAACGTTAGTCTTGCACATAAATTGATTACTTCTGTTTTTCAAGATATTGCTCAGCAGCTGCTTATCATTATATTTACCTACTGCAGGTTGAAGCCAGAAGCTCAAGTTGTAGCTGTGAGTTCCTTTTTTGGGAGAAACTCTTATATTTTACTTTCAGAACCATGATGAACTCTTTTCCTGACATGTGCATCATCACGTGTGATAATAACAGTGGACAACATGTCTGAACGTGTAAAACCGATGGGACAAGAGAATACTATGCCGGAACCTTCTAGTAATGGTTTTCACGATCCTGCAGAAAGGCCCTCGTCAACTGAAAATTCTTCATCACAGAGCACAACTCTGGTTGAAAACTCAGAAATGAGTCGGGCTTTGGTGGCATCTACAAATAGGTTACTACCTACGCAGGCAACCGACCCTGATCAAAAGGCTAAGGTAATAAAGATTTCGTATTGATTTCCAATATTCAGAATGTCTGTCAGCTTGGGATGCTCGTTTCTTGGTTGTGAATTCTTGATGACTTGTGCATTATTTCATCTTACTTTATTTGTTACTCGTTTTTGAAATTCAGGAGTTTAAGCTGAATCCAGGAGCGAAGACTTTCTCTCCATCTCTTGCAAAACGTCTTACGTCAGCTCATGATGGTATGACGCCTGTTGTTGCAAATATGGGTTATGTGCCAAGCAATACTCCTATGTTACCAGTTCCTGAAGTTGTTCAACCGGAAATTGGAGTCAGCCCTTTGTTGTCTCATGCATCTTCACCTTCCAAGTTTGTTCCGTACACTAATTTGGCTACTGGGAATACTGGTGGTGGATCTCATTTTCCTCAACATGTAAGTATTAAACCATTAATAAGTCATCTACTATTCCCCCTCTCTCTAAATATCACGTTTTTAGAGGAACCTTTATTCATCTACTAGCTCCTTTTAGCTCTAAGTACTTAAAAGGCTGAATGCCAATATTGCATGACCAGATTATGAAACTGAGTATTATCTTCACACATGCGATGATATTGATATAACTCAATTAGAAACAACGGTTTGTCATGTTAAATGCTTCCTGTTACTTTCTACTATCATTCTATTAATTTTGTTCACAACCGGTGATTCAAAGTCCTGTGCAATCAATGAATCGTTTTTTAATTTGAACTCATTTTTCTGCAGATGGTTGGACCAACTATTAACAGGGGACAGCCACATAGATTCACCACTCAGTACCATTCTGTTCAAGCCACACCAATGCTTGTAAATCCCAATCCTCAGGTTGTATTTCATTAAGAACACCATATTCTCACTTATGTTCAAAAAAATAAAATTGTTTTTAAGAATTGAGTTGTAGTGTATGAGTTTCTAATTGCTAATTGAAGTGCATATTCCAGGTGATGGTCGGGAGATCAGGACAGCTTATGTATATGCAACCAATTTCTCAGGTAAGAAGAACTCGAATGATTGTTATTTGTGCAAACAAACAATCACACTAGCCTTATTTGCTTGCAAGAAACTCAAATCATCTTCCCTTTTATGTTCTAATAAGGATTTGGTTCAAGGAGCACCACATAACTCACATTTGCCTCCTCGTCCTCTCTTTGCTTCCCAACAGCTTCAATATCCAAAGCATCAAAGTAAAACATTCTTCTCTGTCCAAGTATGGTTTCATGTTAAGACCAAAGATTTTGGTTTTCACTAAAACAATTCATTTTTTTGGTGATTCAGGTCTAATCGCAACTGGTCAACCGATGCAGCTATACGCTCCACAACCGTTTGCAGCCAATGGACATCAGCCTTACACAGTCATGCCTACTGATATTCCAGTTATGCAGCCACCTTTTCCCATTAACAGGGTCATACCAATTCCGGTGCCTAATGGTTTCTATGGCACAAAGTTTCAATAAGAAGTCTTGTTTTTCATCTTCATTACCTTATTACTTACCTCCCAGCACAATAAGGCTATATATTATAAAGTTTTTGATCCATAGTTAAAACGAAATATTATAGATTCGTCTGTTGTTTTGGATTTTTTTTTTATTTTTTCTCAATGATATACAACTATTAGCTAAAGAAAACAGAAAGAGGAAGTTATTGAGCATTTATATAATGAATCACGGTAATTTTGCTGACATCTTTAAGCTAGACAATAGTTAGATTCTGTTTTCCTATTTCTGATTACAATGAGATTGAATCAGACTTTAAGCTCTTAAGAGTTTGCAAGAAGAAATAATCTTCAGAAGATCAATGGCCTTGAGAAAAATGGGTCTCTCTCACATTCTCCTGCACAGCCTAAGACAAATCAAACATGAATCTCTGTAGAGAAAAACAAGTAAACTTGGGATATTATCATTGGTATGGTTGGGTTTAGTACCTGAAGGAGTTCTGTCATCTTGCCTCGTCCGTAACTCGTCATGGGTTTCGGCATATGTACTGGATGGATCGGGTGTATCGCCTGCAATGGCTCAATAGACAGAGCTTGCTCATCTGACTCGGGTTCAATGGACTGTGCTGTGTGATGGACTTGACCTTTATTCATCACCTGTGTGAGCAGCGTCTCAAAAGGCTTGCTGTTACTCGCTCCACTCACTTGAGACCCCGTCTCAGTCTGCATGGGACTGTGGTGGATCGGGACCCGCCCACCACCATTCTGTAGATGGGATGGCTGAAGCACGACCGGAACCACAAGATTCTTTGGTGTTGTCGGATGAGCAGGCTGAATCGGGACAGGAACCAATGCTCTGGTTCTAACACCACTAGCACGCTTCTCCCGGAATCTAGATTTCCGACCTCGTTTAGCTGAGCCGTCATGATGCATCACATCACTGTTTCTTCTTATCATTGGAACATCAGGAGCAACATCGTTATCAACAGATACAGGATCACAGTGACCGGGCTTGAACACCACACCTCTAAGCATGCTATCTGAATTCCCAACCTTAACCGAAAGCAAGAACCCAGCTTCAAATGTGGCCTCAATCACGCCACTAATCGGTTGTCCAACCATAGCTTCATCCCCATCCCTATGGCGAGACTGCTGCTGACTGCTGCTAAACCTTGGAGAATGACCAAGAGACTGCTCATTCGATTCTAGCTTCAATTGTTTCTTCGGACGACCTCGTTTCCTTTTCGCCATTAAATCTCCTGAGACAGTGTGGTTGTTCTCCTCATGTCCTTCCTTCTCCATTTCTTGAAGATTTGATATTGCAGTGATTAGTGTTAAACCCTCTCCGGCTTTTGTTCCTCTGAGACAGTAACGATAAAACACAGGTGAGAATCATCAGTACACACAGAACAACACCACAGATCATCACTGTAACTAGAAATTAAAATGTCATATGTTCTAAACAAAATGTTTAACAAAAACCAAAACAAATTTCAAAAATCTAAACTTTTTTTTATAAATAACTTTCACAATCCAAGAAAAAAATCTGAATAATAAACTGTAATTTATACACATTTTGTACTAAAAAACTGGGATTTATACAGATAAGATCCAGTAATCCAAACACGAGCATGCAACCATTTCTAAACCCTTAAATCAGGACTCCTAATTACAAATTAACTCAGAATCAAACCACTAATCAACACACACACAAACAACAAAAATAGCAATTTCTCAGTAGCCCTAGAATCGAAATCACATAAAGAACAAAAAAAATCTCGGATTTCAAAAAAAAAAAAATCGAGTGAAGAAGAAACACACATAACATAGCAAAGTATTATTACCCAAAATAACCAAAACAAAGCAACGACCAAGGAAACACAAGCTTTAAACTTTTTCCGTCAATTTCTGTGTAAACACAAACATAGAAGACAGAGAAAAAAACACAGACCTGCGATATTTCGTCTCCCTTTCTTCTTGTGGCATTTAACAACAAACGAGTCAAAAAGAGGCTAATGCGAAAAAAGACAAAACAATTGCGAGCAACAAAAAAAGGGCCGAAAATTTTTATTACAACAAAAAAAAATTGTGGATTTGGTTATATAACACTTCCCTGTTATTAAATAAAATTAATGGTTTGTTTTTGTTTGGGCTTTTAGATAAATATCTTTGCTTAAGATATTACTTTTGCTTTTAGCCTTGTGTGTTCTTTGCAGTTACTTGTTTTATTTGAGATGTCACGTGAAAAACACGTGTAGGCTATGCAAAGATCTTCGATACTATCAGGCGGGCTAGGCCTGGGCTTTCGATTATCCGTTCGGTTATCGGTTGAATCCATTCGGTTTCGGTTCTTTCGGTTTTAAAATTTAGTATCCATTCGGATATTTTGAAATTTTGGTTCGGTTTCGGTTCGGTTCCGGTTCTTTCGGTTTTAGAATTTAATATTCATTCGGTTATTTTGCATAGGATATTTTCTGATATTTCGGTTATTTGTGAGTATTTTCGGATATTTTGTGATATTTTTCGGTTATTTTCGAGTATTTTTTTTACTATTTTTATATATTATTCAAGTATTTTTGATTATTTGATATATGAATAATTAATTATTTTGAAAATATAATTGTATTTCGGATATTTCGGTTACCCGAAATATTTTGGTTCGGTACCGATTCGGTTACAGTTATTTCGGTTATAAAATTTAGTATTTATTCGGTTATTTTCAAATTTTCGGTTCGGTACGAAGTAATATAAATAATCCCTCTTTTTGGATTATTAGCCCAAATAATTAAAAGATTTAAGCCCATTCAATCTTGGACTTATTTTTGCAAAAAATATTGGGTAATTAGAAAAATGTACCAACTTGGTTTACAATCAAATCCCGGTTTAACTTCAGATTCGTCGATAATTAGTTATTCTGATTCCAATTGCAAAATTATTGTTTACTCTTGATTCTCATACACACACAGCGGACGACATTCAACTTCTTATCTCATTTCTTGATCCATCAAATTAACAGGCCGTACGAAGAAAATCACGTCGAACCAAGCAACAACAATCGTCGGCAACGTGATGACAATAGACGCAAACGCGATTGCGATGACGACCGGCAAAATCCGCCCCTATTCGACAATGATGACAAGGATTTGGGGGCTAAGTCCACCCTGATTCAACATCAGTTTTTTCTAACTTTTTTTTTCTCTTTCGTTTTTCAACTTTCACAATCATATTTTCTTCTTTTGCAAGTAAAGGAAGAGTAAGAAAATTAGAACAATCGAAATATTTATTATCATTGCAAAAGTCAACAAGAAGAAAACCAAAGCTTTTAAAAACTCCTAATATTGTTCACACACACCAATTATTCGCATAAATAATAGTTCAAACGATCCAATTCGGATTCGATTTAGAAACCGTGGATCTTGATCTGATCCTTCTTAGCAATCCCAGTTTGGACCAAGAACTGAGACACTTTCTTCCTTTGATCACCTTGAAGCTGAATGATCTTGCCTAGCTCTTTGTCCTGCACAACGTTCCCGTTGCAGCAAAAGTCTTTCTTCAAATCCTTGAGAATCCTCTCGTAGCTATACTCTTTCTTTAGCCCTTGAACAGTCGTCAAGCTCTTTTTCCCATTCCTCTGCTGGATTCGGATGTGAATGTTCTCTTTAGCTCCTGGTGCATCTGAATCTTTGGCTTCTGCAAAAGGATCGAATGCTGATGGAATCTGAATGTCTAGCTCAACCATGTAAACTTGGTTACTTTGAACTAAGAAACTGCTCTAAAGCTGTTTGATTCTCTCTGCAAAACAAAATACGAAAACCAAGTTTAGATTCCAATCAACAATAAACAATGAAGAACCAAAGTCTAGTCTTTATCAACAATAAACAATCAAGAACAGAGTATATATTGGAATCTAATCTCAAACAAAACCCCCAAATTGACCAATAATAAATTAACATCAAACTTATCAAACCATAACAATCAAGTCGCATGACTATGAGAGAATCTCTAATTTTTCCTTCAAAATCAGAAATCAAAACCATACAAAGAAAACAGAAAGCAAAATCAAACCTATCTGATTCATAAAACGAAACAACGAAGACTGAATGAATCAAAGCCCTAATCCAATAAAAAAATTCCAGAACAATCAATCAAAGATCAAATCTACGAAAGAGAGAAGAAATCGTACCTGAAGGTGTTGTTGAGGAAGAAGACGATAGAGTCTTTGGATTTTTGTTAATTCAATTGATGAAGAAGAATGCTAAAGGAAGGTTTTGTATAGGGATTTTTTTTTTTACCATAAATCTTCTTTTTATGGCGGTTAAATCGTAGCCGTAGATCTATTATTTTATAGACACGTGTATGGATAAGCACGAATTAGTGACCAAGTGGAAGGTTTCACGTTAAGAATAATTTAATTGGTGGGAGACGCAGAGAATAATTACTCTCTTTGCGTATAATGGACGCGCATCCGTGTAGGCCCATTAAAAGAAAATATAATAAAACGGTCGTGTAATAAGAGCCACCAAGTGGGTCCAATATCAACACTTGCTCGAAGAATCTCGAAGTCAATAGCTATTATGATTTCGTATTATTCGATATCTGTGGTTGTCTGACAAAAGAAGAAGAGACCGTCTTATTGCAATTTGTTCGATACCTTTATTTTTAGACTAAATCTACTATACATTTTTGCAGCAGTTTTTGGGTACCCAAATCTGGTCAAATTTATTTAATTTTGACCCGGAAATCTTCAATCGGATCTTTCCTTAAATTTTGGCAAAATTAAAAAACGAAAATAATTAATAAAATCTTAAATATATATACTTTCTCAACTAATTACTATATTTAAATGCTTTATTTATGGTATATTCTCCACGATTTTTATAGATAAAGAAATCAAATATGATGATTTAATGCTAATATAACAATTTTGCACTAATTTCCTAAAACCTCTCTACCTAATTTAAACATAAATATATGATTCTTATTTCACTTTTATTTGATCTTATATTTATATTATTTTAAATTATTATAAAATATATAAATAGTTAGTAAATTTTAGTTTTTTTTTTTCTGCATATGTTACAATTCAAATTTTTTAAAACGGACATATATTACTCAATCGATGAATAAAAATATGTGTGTAATCTATATTAACATTTTTAAGAACAAATTGAGCATTTAATCATGTCGTTATTTTATTCAGACCCGAAATTGAGTCATTCGGATCTTTCTTTAATTTTTACAATTATCTAAAATGGGACAGTATATCACGGGTGAAATCCTAATTAGTATTTTAAGATACAATTATAAATTGTTTTTACGGGTTGGTCCAAAAACAAACACTAATTTAAAAATATACATGGAAACTATTTGAAAGCAACTTTCAAATTAACTCGAATTATATGACATTTAAATAAAAGTGTTATTAAAAAAATAACAAAATGATGTTTAATTTCATTTTAGATTATATGGTTGGACGGGTTTGGGTCAATATTAATACGAGACAATATACCACAGGTGAAATCCTATAAATAACAAATCAAAATACAATTATACAATCTTAAACACTAAACAAAACAAATACAACTTAAAATTTTTTATTTTAGATACAACGCATGTGACCCGCGGTATACAACAAAAAATATTATACACAATAAATTCATCAATTTATAAAAATAAAAAAATCAAATAATTAACCCGCGGGTCATATCCTAGTTGTGATTTTAAGACTCTTGAAAGTTTTGTTAAAGAATGGCATATAAAACAACACCTTTGCACCATGGAACAGCAAACTCACTCACTCATTGCTCAAACTTCGAATGATATACGAAAGCATACCGCCATGATTATAGCATGCCAATTCCACCTGATCAATTCCAATCAACCAAGTCAGACCATCAAATATATGGTCACAATCAAATCTAGACAAAGCTTTTGTGATTACCTCTGTGTCTAACCGCAAAGTGCAGACAAAAGAATTAGCAGTGTCAGTGGTCACAGTTATGTCCTGGCCTGGTTTTATCTCATTGACATTGCTAGGAAGGTGGATTGTGTAGCGTTCATGGCCAGTTAGTCCAAGGGTTTCTGCATCTTCACCGGACTTGAAACACAGAGGAACAATCCTTATACTAGCCAAGTTGCTGCGGTGGACTCTATTAAAGCTCTTGGCAATGATAGCTTTCACTCCCTAGTTATTGTTAAAATCTCTTAGGTTACACTGAAATAACTAAGCCGTCGAAAAGACTATTAAATGTATGATATAACAAATATCATGTATGGTTACCAGAAGCATTGGACCCTTTGCAGCCCAATCCCGAGAGCTACCACTTCCATACTCTGCACCAGCTAGTATGATCGTATCCTGTCCAGCGGTCTTGTATCTCTGCAGATATGATAAAATGAACATAAGTGATGGTTTAAGCTTTTGGAGTTTGTAATACAAATCTTACTCACACTTGCTGCATCATAAATGCAAATTTTCTCTCCTGTAGGAATGTGAACTGTCTTGGGGCCAACTTCTCCATTTAAGAGCTTGTTTACAAGACACGTACTGGCAAAGGTGCCGCGTTTCATCACCTCATGGTTTCCTCAACGACTTCCATAAGAATTGAAATCATAACGACACATCGAATACCGTTCTATGAGAAACTTTGCAGCAGGACTATCCTCGTGGATAGTTCCTGCTGGGGAAATGCTGCTTGTGGTTATGTTGTCTCCAAAGTTCAATAAGCAATAAGCATCCTTCACTTCACGGGGACCAGGTGGATTTGTGGTCATATTCGACATAAAAAGAGGGATATCAACTGATTCAGACCATTAATCAACAGATAATGACGTGATGGGTAAATCAAAGTCGACAATTCTCATTTGAAGATATATCTAAATACTACCACAAGCTTTACAAGCATCAAAAATGAACAAGAGAAATGAAGTTGCTATAAGGCTTTCTTGTCAATCTTAGTATAGACCATGTAACTAGCCAAAGCTTTAGTTTAATGGACTCTCAACTTTACCTTTTACACAGCAAAGGGAAACAACAGGTGAACCACTGAATGCAACAGCTTTGGATTTGAAGGCCACCAATCCCAGTTCCTGCGGATTCAAGCTGCATCATAAATTTGGACAGAGTGATCAAAGGCAAGACCAACAGGGAGAATTGCTATGGAATAAGCTATTTAATCCTACTTAAGTCATAAATTATCGCCAACTGTGAAAGATTTGTCACATCACAACAGCACAGCGATGAATTTGTTTTGTACACCAGTGGATCGCTACCAAGACTATTCATTGCAATCCCTCATAGAAACAAGATCAAATTTAGCCATGAACCAAAAAAACAGAAAGCAAAAAAACAAAAATTAGCATTAATGAGAAAAGAAAGGACTCTACCAACTGCCTTTAAAAGAATCACTGGCATCTTTGGATGGGATCTCAACTTTCGTAAGACAATCAACATACCAATCCAAAACACAAAGACCATAGCTCTGATGAATCTGCGAAAAGCTGAGGACGAAAGACGAAGCAGAGGAAACAGTTTGTTATTTAGGCACTCAAACAGCTTATATCCTCAAGGGGACACACATTGTTTTCCCATCCAGATGGGTGTAAAAGGATACACACTACTTTACATAAAACGGCGAAGAAACTACCAAATGGAAATATATATATAAGTTGATTGCATCTATTGACTCTACTGAGGATTTGGGGGACGACTATTGGCAGCAGAGACTCTAGAACCCCACTCCAAAAGCTCCTTGCTTGTATCGTCTTTGTGCACTATCACTTCAATGAAACAAAAGCTATCTTTTTCCTCATTGGTTGCCGTGTTGATCGCTTTCACAAGCTCCTCCTCGCATCTCACCTTGGCAGTCCAGCATTTTCCTTCTCCATTGTGGATGGCATCGACAAAGGCTGTGTAGTTCCAGTTCTTTATGACATTGTAAGGACCATCGTGAATCTCCACCTCAATTGTGTAGCCTCCGTTGTTGATGAGGAAGATTATGGTCTTTTGCCCACACCGTATCATCGTAGATACATCCTGAGCAGTTACCTGGAAACTACCATCTCCAATACAAGCAATGACACGCCTGTTTGGCATGGCTTGAGCATAGCCCAGAGTAGCACCCACTGACCAACCAATTGATCCGTACTGCATTTGGAATTCGTAACCGCATCCTTCAGGGAGCTTCAGCTTCTGACAATTGAACCAGGAATCTCCTGTCTCAGCAAGCACAGCAGTTTCAGAAGAGAGCATATTTTGAATGTGTTGGAACAGCACATTAACCCTCAAAGGCTCATTTGGGTTATCTCTCAAAGGCTTTCCTTCTGGGACAAAGATCCTGTGGTAATTCTCATAAGAAGTGTTGTTGTGCTTAATTCGTTTAGCCAACCCGCTAAGAAAATCCTTCATAAGAACACACCCAAACGCAGGTCCGTTACCAATAGTAACCCGATCAGGCTGCACAATGATCGCTTTCTCTTTCTTGAGAAGCAGAGAGTACCCAACAGAACTGTAATCGTTGAAAATTGGACCTGCAAACAAATAAGCATCCGCAGATTCAACAATTTCAGCACAGAAAGCTGTACTCACAGCTCCCCAATACGTCCCTATAAAATGCTTGTGATGCTCAGGTACTTGTCCTTTAGCAGAAGGCATCACAGCAAGACCATAACCAGAAGCATCAGCAAGCTCAACAAAAGCATCCGCGGCTTTCGCAACCCGCATTTTAGGCCCACCAACAAGAACTGGCTTCACAGCTTTGTTCAAGAATTCAGCAGCTGCCTCTACCGCCGCATCTATACCCATCTGATTACTCACCTTCGGCGTAAGCATGAACGGAACAGGATGACGACTAAAAGTCGGAAGAGGAATCGCCGGCAAATTACAGCTGATACTGATATAAACAGGTTTGCTTTCTTTCAAAGCAGTTGAAATCGCAGTATCGATGAGTTCATGAGCTTCTTCCAAGTTATTAATCACAGCTTGATAACAAGTAACAGCTTGAAAACACCTAAGCTCTTGAGTGAAATCAGGTAAACCAATCGTATGATGAAGAATCCTATTGGTGCCGTAATCGTTGGAGTTTGGACCACCGACGATGCAAATCAAAGGCAGATTCTCACTATAAGCACCGGCTATCGCGTTCAAGACACTCAATCCACCGACGGTGAACGTAACGACGCACGCACCAACACCGCGAGATCTGGCGTAACCGTCAGCAGCGTATCCGGCGTTAAGCTCGTTACAGCAACCGATCAGCTTGAGGCTTGGTTCGGCGATGAGGTGATCGAGAAGCGTTAGGTTGAAATCACCAGGAACGGAAAAAACATCGGTGACTCCGATTTCGACTAACCGTCTTGCTAAGTAACGGCCAAGAGTCGCCTCGCAGGGGCTGACGGTGATGGAGTGAAGTGGACTTGAGTTTTGGACGGTAGAGACACCGCCGTTTGGAGGACCGCCGATATCGTCATGGGTCGGGTTACAAACGTCGATGGATCCGATCTTAGTGTCCATAATCGGTGCTCGTTTCACTTAGAGCTGTGAGAAATTTGAGAGAGACTAAAAGTACAGTTTGAAATATGAGATTAGTGGTGAGGAGAGTGAAACCGCCACTTAATTATAGAGACTTAAAACAACGGTGGCTAAAGTAATCAAACGGTGGTATGAAACAGGCGGCTATAAGATATTTATGTGTCTCTGAGATTAGACACGTGTACCAATATAATTGGATATTGGAGAACAAGTTAAAAATATTCACGTTTAAAATTGGGAAAAATGTCGTTAAAATCTCAAACTTATTCAAAACGTTGATTTAAATCCTCATGACGAAACAAAATAAATATCAAACTTATGTTGACTTTCCAAATAAATATTAAACTTTTGTTGACTTTCCAAATAAACACCAAACTTTCATTGATTTTCCAAACAAATATCAAACTTCCGTTGACCTGATCATATTAGGTACGACGTTAAGTGGGTTACTAAATTCTCAACTCATGACAAAACAAAATAAATATCAAACTTATGTTGACTTTCCAAATAAATATCAAACTTATGTTGACTTTCCAAATAAATATCAAACTTCCGTTGATCTGGCCATATTAGGTACGACGTTAAGTGAGTTAATAGATCTCGTAAACGGAGGTAATTTTCTGTTAACATATATGTTAATTGATAACAACATTGTTTCATATAACAACAAAACGACGTCGTTTTGTCGTAACGATTGAATTAAATCCCTAAAGTCAATCTTAGATCCCCAAATCGAGCAAAATCCCTAACCCTAAATAGAGTATGATTTGAAACTCGAGATTTTATTGAACAGTTAATACAAAACAACGTCGTTTTATGTTTAGAAGGAATACTTGTTAGTGTTTTGATCAACAAACGAACTTTGTTTTAACAGAGTATTGAAGAACAAAACCAAAATGAAAAATAGAATATGAAGAAACTTGATTTTTATTGATAAGATAAAATGTATTACAAACAATGATGTTATTGAGTTTGACTCGATCTATTTATACAACACGAAACAACGTATACGTACATGTGTTAATCGAAAAGACACAACTTTACGAACAGACACAACTATACGTACGTACATTCGTGACTCTTACGTAAATAACTAACTTATAGGAATACGATTTTAGGTTATATGACTTAGATGAGATTTGATTATAGTTCAACAATACTGTCATTTTTAATTAGCGGGTCTGTTAACAGAAAATTAATCCCGTTAACATTGTCTGTTAACTCACTTAACGTCATGCCTAATATGGCCAAGTCAATGAAAGTTTGGTGTTTATTTGGAAAGTCAACATAAGTTTAATATTTATTTGGAAAGTCAACATAAGTTTGATATTTATTTCGTTTCGTCATGAATTAGACACGTGTACCAATATAATTGGATATTGGAGAACAAGTTAAAAATATTCACGTTTAGAATTTGGTTTGGGAGGCAGAGAATAATTGCTCTCACGTGCAGCCCCCCAAGTGGATCGGACCCGGTTCGTGTCGATACCACGTGACTCAAAAAAAAAAACTCCCGCTCTTGGTGACTTTTCAAAACCCTAAAGAGAGTCATAGTTTCCCCCCTAACGCCGATTTTCCCGCCGCTCTCACTCGATTACAAAAATCCTTAGATCCCCAATCTTCAATCACTTATCTTCAACAATCTCTCTCTCTGAATCCTCAGATTCTTCTATCTCTTTCACCAAGCTTAACCTAATCGTAAACATGAAGGATATCTCTAAATCTCCGGCGAGAAGAAGCGACGGATACCACCGCTACTTAAAACCAGGAGCGCTTGCTCAGATCCGAAACTCGAGAATCAACGCTAGATCTACAACTACGACTACGAAAACATCTCTCGTATCTCGCTCCTCCCTCTCGCAACTACTAGATCCGATTTCACCATCTCAGAACTCTGTTGATGAAGCAGCGGCGGCGCGAAATCTGACCATAGATCAGGTACCACATCTTCTAAGAAAGATCTACGGTCCTTATAGTTATCAGAGGAAGAAATTAGCCGCTGCTAGATCTGTCTCGTCGATGATGATGATGAATATCAATCCTCCTATAAATTCAGTTCTTGTTGAACCCAGTAGTGTGTTGAGTAGTGATGTTATTGCTCATTGAGTTAAACTAGTTTCTTCCAAATCTGTAATCTGATGATACAATTGGGGTAAAATGTTCAATACTCTCATAAGACTCACTATATGAATCATTAAATTCTCAATAAATTGTGTGTTTCAATCATTCAATTGATGGTTTTACCTTTGTTAATTTAATGTTTGTGTTGATGATTTGATATCTTCCAATTTGGATTTGATTATAGATTCCTTCACTATATATTGATCATTTTGGGATTCTTAATGATGTAATATCTAACTCTAAATGTTGTAGCTGTTTTGGAAGATTGATCAAATACTTGATGATTCAAAGAGTAATGATATTATTCCTCCAGAGACTACATATATTTTTTTCAATTTTGTTATCTTCTTGCTAGATTGTAATTGATACATAGGCTATGTTACCTTAGTCATTTCTTTGTTTTGCTTAGTCTAAACATCTAAATGCTAGAAGTTTTGTTGTTCTCTCTGTTTGTTGTGATGGATAACAATGTTTGCCTTCTGCCCATATGGTTACCGAAGATTGTCTATAGGTGTAAATGAATTTCGTTTGCTTGGTGGTATTACCGCATATGGAACACTGGTCTTGGTTTACTTAGTCTCTGTCATATCAATGGTAAAAGTTTGTCTATATGCTTCTGTTGTTTGATCCAATGGGTAATGAACGAATGATGGCTATCTATGTGTTGCCTTTAGCTAATGTCTTAGCACATATTGTTGAACTTGAATCATGATCCAAGTGAACCTCTTGACCCTCTGATTATGCATTTGGACATTAATTAATGGATACAACACTTGCTTCTTGTTGTCAACAATCCTTGACTGGTCAAGCAATGGAAGAGAGTGATCATTCAAAAGCTGATGCTGATCATCATCATAAGAAATTAAGAATGTGTATTACTTAATGATTTGGAACCGATCATAGTAGTTCATGGCTACGGATGGATTTTGTAGAATATTCGAAGTTATGAACATGATGCTGAAGAAAATCGTGAGTAGGCCAAGATTGAATCATCGAATGATTTCATGTTGATGTATATATTAGATTTAACCGGTGAAATCAATTGGCAGAGTACTATTAAATCAACAAAACTTGCAGCAACGTAAAACTGAATTGTTGTTGATAAACATTGTTACCTCCCCAGTACATAAGTAAGAGACCATTCATTACTTTCACTTTCTAACCTTCAAAGTTTTCCAACTCTTTCATTGTTAAATCCTTCATCTTTTCTACTTTTTTTCAGTAACTCCCCATTATGTATAAATTCAATGCATCAAGGACTACAACTATTCCACATGTGCATTGATAAACTAACCTCAAAAATAAAATAGAGGTAAAAGAGAGAACCACTTTTTAGAAAGGAGTGGAATTGTTCTCGTATCACGAGATTACATAAACGTGAATCGTCCAAACTACTAGATTCGAACAAACCAACCAAATCACAATTTTTTTTTCTTTTAAAATAATGAAACATGATGTGAAAACACAAACATGATGACCCATTTATCTTAGTAGGTTTTGAAGTAAACCTATCTAGCCCAATCTGAAGCTACCAAACCACAGTAAATAGAACCAAACCGACGTAAATTCAAAGCTATTACTCAAACCGAATTATGAAATACTATGAAGTTATTTTTTATTTTGATAATTTTCTCACTGAATCTAAACCTAAACCCAAATTGCGAAATCTGAAAAAGATGGAAATAATAATAATGATGTGAAATGCAGACTTCCTATGGTCGATCAATTTTGTTGTTGTAAAACTCTTTGAACTATGATGTGACATCACCTTGACATATGCTAATGTCACCACTTTATGTCCCGAAAAAATATCACTACCGTTAATAAAAAAGTTGTTATGGGCTCCCACATCATAAAAACTAAAATATGGTGGTGAAAAAAACAATTATTACACTTTACACATTATCAAAATTTGGCCACCAAAAAATGTAATCAAACAACACCGACAAAAAACATTCAATAAAACAACATAGTTTAAATAGTAGAGTCGGTTACAACACAAAACTCTTCTGTATATATTAGCCCCAAATTAAATTAATCACCATTTGACAGTAGCTCAGTTTGGCAACGGTGAAGGTTAAATAAAGAACGAACTAATGTTTAGTAACGATTTTAAAAATAATAAGCATCTCAATATTTGGATTATCTCAAGTAAAGTAGTATTAATTAATCCAAAGCCATGATGATTTATATGAAGCCCACCAAGACGAAGCCAAATGTCGATCTGTCTCGCTACCAGCAACCACCGCACTTGTGCCTCGTCCCTGTCACTTCCACTACCAGATTTTTGGTGCCACTCGAAATAAATTTATCAAATCACTAATCTTTTTTTACATCAATTTTCTAATTTTAATAATCGCTATAAAAGTTACCAAAATGGCAAATCTTATTATACAAAGTTACATACAATCCGGAGACCGTGAAAAAAAGAACTCTTGATTAGGATGCTTAATCCACCATATTCACATTTGCAAGTTTTTCTAGTCTTATCATTTTTATATGGAAAATCACTTCCTCCTTTTTTTCCACGCGGTTTTAAAAGATTAATCATAAAAGAGTAGAAATTAAAGGAACTTTTTTTGTATCTATTATAATTTGTTTTTATATGTCTTGTGACCACAAACACACAGATAATCTACATATTTATTTTATATATAAAGAGATGGATAATCTAACTGAGAATGAAGTTAAGAATTTTTATAGCTTTCTTCCTCTCCAAGACCACACACAAAATCAAGAAAAGACATTTGAGTTTAAGATCCAGTTAACCAGAGATGAGAGCCAACAACAACAACACAAGAGAAGAAGAGAGAAGCAGTTCTTCAAAGCAGCAGCAACCACAAGCTCATATGTCTTTGAAAATCATAGATTCATGTCTCAGACTCAGTGTGGTTCCTCTCAGTGTTGCAACCATCTGGTTAACTGTCACTAACCATGAATCCAACCCTGACTATGGCAATTTAGACTACAACTCCATCATGGGTCTCAAGTAAACTTACTCTTTACTTTCTCTTTCAATTTTTGAGTTAGTATTTTATAATTATTAATTGATTAGTTATTTGTAGGTATATGGTTGGTGTGAGTGCCATATCTGCTATTTATGCTCTGCTCTCTACTATCTCTTTATGGGTCACATGTTTAGTCTCCAAAGCTTGGCTCTTCTTTGTTCCTGACCAGGTTTATGTTTAAGTCTACTCAATCTTTAATCAAAATCTAGTATGCAAATTCTTATGTAAGTGAATAATTTTTCTATTTTCTTGTGTATGAAGGTTTTAGCTTATGTGATGACCACATCAGTAGCAGGAGCAACAGAGATAGTGTATTTACTTAACAAAGGAGACAAAATAGTGACATGGAGTGAAATGTGTTCTTCTTATCCACATTATTGTTCAAAACTCACAATTGCTTTGGGACTTCATGTCTTTGTTCTTTTCTTTTTCTTATTTCTCTCTGTAATTTCTGCCTATAGAGCTTTTAGTCCCTTTGATCCTCCTTGTGATTCTCAAACCAATATTGATGCTTAAATTAGTCAGTTTTGGAGTCAACTTTATCAAAATGTTGCAGAAATTAAGGTGTTGTAACTTTCTTCTCGAATTAAGGGTGTGATTGGTTGGGACGTAGCTGTGGTTGGGATGTAGCTGTAGGTTTGTTTTGACCGTAGATCTTAAATTTTCTACAACGCTTAATATTTTTTGCTTTTAAGTGCTGTAGGTTTTTTTATTTCTCTTCTAATTTTTTCTTTTCTCGTGTAAATGGATATATACAAATAATATAAATACCATGTATAGTCTCGTTTGTTATATATACTATATATATATATATATATATATATATATTGAACGAAAAAACTTATATGTGTATATTCTTTTCAATTAATATGTAGTTATTATATGAATACCATATCAAATATTTTAATCATTTATATAAATGATTTATATGTTTATATAGATTCCATTTAACATATATGCATAAATTTGTGTTGTTTTTTATTATATAATTGCTATTAAATAATTTTATTAACTATAATATAATTTAAGAAAATGTAATTTATAAATAAAAATTCAAATATTTACTAATCATAATTTATAATTACAACTAATAATTTACTGTCAAAATTCGATATTCCTAAAATCTACAGTTACAGCTACAGCTTACACATTAGAGCCAAAATTCTACAGCAAATAATTTACAGCTAAAGTCTAACCAATCACCCACTAATACGATTTCTTTTTGTTTTCTCCCACTAATTGTTGTTGTAGGCACCAGTCCCATGGATTAAATAATCGTTTAGGGCTATCTCAATTTATTTTATGTTTCTGAAGACCACCAAATTATTATTATAATAATTATAGGTATATCTTAAAACAAGTCATAAAATCAATTTCACAAAAAATCGTTGTTTAATAAAATATTTAACACAATTTTACATAATTTTAAAACTAATATTGTCTACAATTTTGAATAATATATAGAAAGAGCGTTACAAAAAAAACTTTTCTTCGAACTACCATTTTTGTTGGACCGGCATAAAGCTTATTTTGCGGAAAAACAAGATTTTTACCTGATTTTACCTACATACTAAATCTTACCATTTATGTGCAAAATTTTACAAAATAATAATTACAAAAGCATTGAAATAGTGTTATCAACAAAATTGTGTACTGTAAACTATATAAATTTTTGGTGTAAATCTCTAAAAAAAATTAAAGTATAGTCAACAGAAGGAAATATCAAATGACTAATCTATTAAATTAATAAGGTGACAACCAACAAATATTGTACTTAATATAGTAAAAAATCTTACATTTCTGTCAGTGAGTAAAATCATATATAGTCACTAATAAATAAATTGTCGGAGAATTAAAAGAAAAATTGAAAACTTCTGTTCCTAAACGACTTTAAAACCCGCACATCGGACGGATCCTAATCTAGTTTCATTATAAAAAATGGCTAGTTTTGCAAATCGTCCTTATATCTTTACACAACAATAGAGAGTAAAAGTTCAAAAAAAAACATAAGATCTAATTAGTTATCGTTCAAGAGAGAGATTAGGGTCTGTTCCTTTTGGTTCATACCACACCAACCATGAGGGACAGCTACAAGCATGAACTTATCTCAACCTCAACTAACGAAACTGATCGAGTCATTAATCGTTGCTTTCTCCGGAAGAAGACCACACAAGAAATCATTCATCTCAGGGCTTTTCAGGTAGAAGAATCAGATTCGTACTCTTTCACCGTAACATATCAGCCAAATCTACGGATTCGTCATGAAAATCTCGATGGACACGAACTTAAGACCACTATTGAACGTCATCGCGATCGTGCACTTCAACTCGAAGACAGCATCCCAAAAAAGTTTCTTGTCTCTCAAGAAACATGTCTCGAGCACGTCATGATCATCTTGTCGGCGATGTATCTCCCGCATTCGATTCAAGAACGTCTTGTCCGTTACATCTCAACAGAATCAGTTAAGTTCAGCAACCGCCGCCGCGGAAGAGGAGGAGGTTTGAGGGTAGAAGTTGACGTTAAAGTGGACGTGGAACAATGGGTGAGGATTGATTGTTGTTGTAAACAAAAGGGTACTTGTCTGGTTCCGGCGATGGATTGTCCGATATGTTTGACGGAATTATCTAGTGAGGTGAGTCGCATGGAGTTACCATGTTCCCATGTTTTTCATAGAGACTGTGTTATGACGTGGCTGAAAATGAAGCCTTCTTGCCCTATCTGCCGAACCAAACCTCTTGGCGAAACTGTTTCTATCTATTAAACTCTATGTGGGTTTGTAAACTTTTATATTGGGCTTGAATATGTGGTTTGGGCTTCTATCTAATCCTTTTAAGCCCATTTATTTGCCTTAAAATCGGAATCAATAAGAATCTATCTTTTCTCTGTCTCCTCGACCAAAACTCTCAGCAAAATCAAACAAGAACCCAAAAGACGAAATATTCTCAGGTAAAATTTACACTTTCTACTTGTGAAATCCAATCCATTTTTCATTCAATTTTTTTACGAAATCTGAGTAACCCTCGTATTGTGAATGAATTTGAGTTACTGGATCGCAGTATTTTGCTATGAAATGTTCAAAATTTCAATAGAATTAGACCGCAAAGAGATTCGAGATTTTGTGAACTCTAGTTCTGTTTAGGCTTTAAGTTATGTTATGTAGGCATCATCATCATCATCAAGTGATAGTCTGTTCACAGGTCAAAGCTTGGTGCTATCTCTCTCATGGAGACGAGCTCTGACTTGTCTTCCAGGGTTCGTCTTAACATTGGTAAATTTCTTCCATTTATATTTCTCTTGAAATCCCATTACTCATCACTTAGTTAAAAGTTTTAAATCTTGTGAAAAATCAATCCTTTTTGATCCAAAATGTTTAAATTTGAATCAATTAGTACTATTGATTAAGTAGAAGTGGTAGCTAAATCGTGTGAGAAAGAATGTGCTTGGTTATCTTATATTCGTTATGTTTCTGGATTCTGTAATTGAGATGGTGCATTCTCAATTTCAGTAAAGTTTCTCTAGAAAAATGAAAACTTTGGCGCTTAGGTTTCAGTTGTAAACCCAACGTTTCATGGGTTGATCATAATTAACTGTGATAAGGACAGAACAGTGTTTTTTCTCCTCTTAGATATTTTTGTGGTTCCTCAACCATCTTCAGAGTAGAGTAAAACCTTTTTTCTTTCACGAGACTTAGCTCCTCAAAAAAATGTTGTGTTCATGTAGGTGGAAAGAAATTTTGTACGACCATTGATACTTTGACTATCCGTGAGCCAGACTCAATGCTCGCAGCGATGTTTAGTGGTCGACATGCAATGTGCCAGGAATCCAAGAAGGTAAATATTGCATTCTATGTTACTTGATTGCAATCCAATTACTTGTTTCAGGATGATGTTAGTTCAGACTAGTTGGTCCTTGTATCGAGTAGCCTTGATTTAACGATAAATTAAAATTTAGTTATGTAGAGAGACTGTGATTTTAGCTACCCACTTTAAGATTTGCTTCAGAATATAAGAATCGAGTCAACGTATATTTGAAGCCATGTACCAGAAATCTGTTACACATAACAATATATACACTCACCTTTATATGTATGAGTAGTATGCTCTTTCCATTTAGCAGCACCTTAGGATGGCATAGCCTTAAAGTTTAGGGCGAGCTTCAAACGAGGAAAGGCTTACGCTGTATGCATATGTGCACTTGTGACGAAGTATAACCACTAAATTAGTTGATTTTATTGTTGCAGGGATATGTATTCATAGACAGGGATGGAAAGCACTTCCGTCATATTCTAAATTGGTTGCGTGATGGCGTTGCTCCAAGTTTGTCAGATCCTGATTGTTCTGAACTTTTGCGCGAAGCAGACTACTATCAGCTTCTTGTAAGCTAAGCTTTTCTTTTACCTTACTATTCTCCTTTTTTTTTTTTTTCATTTTTGCTGGAGATGAAATACATTTGCATTCTCTTCCTATTTTAGGGGCTGAAAGATGGAATAAAAGATTCGAGAAGAGAAGTTGGTGAAGTAGAAGCTGAATTAACGCGTATAGATATCATCAAATGTATACAATCCGAAAGAGTCAGGTTCCGAGGAGTTAATCTTTCTGGAATCGATCTTTCTAAACTAGTAATATTTCTTAATCTTAGATTCTTGTAGGTTACCATGCTATTAGCTGATTTGTACTCACTGCATTTCTGATCCTCAAAACAGTTGTTTCGAAGATCATTTGTGGGTTGGATAAACTTCTGTGGAGTAAAATTAATAGAACATATAGGCTAAATGATTCTTGTTGTTTTAACCTGGAGTTTAAAAAGAACTTGCAGTTACATTTCTAAGAACATATTTATTTGATATTTTCAACTGGATTACACATCTGCTGTCTTAGTGAGTGTCTTTATATTTTATCAACATCATGGGATTAGTAAACCTCTCCAGGAAGAAGAGCTTCGTCTTAGTCAGTGTCTAGAAGTAACCATTTCGTATTTATTGTCTGAATATTTATCTTTGAATAATGTAGGATCTATCCCTTGTGGATTTCAGCTATGCTTGTCTCAGGAATGTGTTTTTCTCTCGTACAAATCTTCAATGTGCCAAATTTCGGGTAAATATGTTATATCACTATCAACTTTTTTTTGTGCTATGTGAGAAGAATATATCATCATATCATGGGAGTTTCCTTGAACATTTGCTTAATCATATCTACTGAATTACTAAATGCTCAAACAGGATGCTGATGCTGCAGGCTCCATCTTTCACAATGCTATTTTGCGCGAGTAAGAAATTTTCAAATCCCATTACATATGATCATCTGTACTTGGTAACATTTCCTGAAAGATTTAAATTTTTTCCATCCTATTAAAGGTGTGAGTTTACCGGTGCAAATCTTAGAGGAGCGTTGTTAGCTGGTACAAATCTTCAGAGTGCAAATTTACAAGGTGCATATAAGCCTAATCTTGCTTGTTAGTGATCTTTCAGACTGCCATGAAAGGTTTTTACATCTAAACATAATTTGACTAATATGATCCTACTTTTGTACTGTAGATGCCTGCTTAGTGGATTGCAGCTTCTGTGGTGCAGATCTCCGCACTGCACACTTGCAGGTGCCTTAAGTAGTCTGTAGAATTATAGTTTTAGCTTAGACTTTTCACCATGACAGTGGTTATCAATTGCCGGTTTAATCCACCTTTCAATCCCACTTATCCAGAAGGTATTTATGAGCATAGCGTGATTCGGTGATAATGTTTGATTCTCTTTCTTACCTAACAGAATGCGGACCTTACAAATGCCAACTTAGAAGGAGCAAATCTAGAAGGTGCAAATTTGAAGGTAAGCAATTCCTTTTATTGACAATATATATTCAGCCTTAATTTGATATGTGCTTAGTGTAGTCTGGACGAGTTTGTGATGAGACGGATAAGTGATATGTGGCTCTTAATTTAGTGTTTAGTTGCGGTTTTAATTAGATCATACATATATCTGGTATAGGGTGCAAAATTGAGTAATGCCAACTTCAAAGGAGCAAACCTTCAACGAGCTTACTTGAGGCATGTGAATCTGCGAGAAGCGGTAAGTCCAAAACCAATACTTCGGTATTGGAAAAACATACATGCACAGATTGATATTGGCCAGTTATTGGTTTAATCTTTTTTTTTTTTTCTACTTTTTCTTTAAGTTTCTGAGTAAATGCTTAAATGGTGAATCTTTAAGTTTCTTTATGTAACAGCATTTGGAAGGGGCAAACCTCGGTGGCGCTAATATGACTGGTGCTATTCGATAAACTCCCTTTGTTGAGACTGACTGTAAGTGTTGTCGTCCTATAAATGATTTGTAACTGCTTTTGGCAAAACGTGAATGTAGTGGCCATATCTCAAAGCTTCTTGTTGTTGAAATAACAAAAATATTCTTTCTTCAAGATTATTATCTATAAGGCATTTTTTCTAATAATGTTATCTTTCGCTATTTCTGTTGTTTATAAGTGAAAATAGCTCTGGCAAAGATGATGTAAACTATAAGGTTTATCTTTGAGTGCTATCTTTTTTTTTACTATTATGTTAGTTATGAACTTTACTTTGTAACTAATCTCAAATACTTGAAACTCTTTAATTCCGTTTAAACTTGCCTGCCTTTGAGGTACTACTAGCCTACTCTGGGCGGGAATGCAAAGATCTGGCTTTTAGTGACTAAACTAACAATTTCAATTACCTTTTTTTTTTTTTTGGGTTCAACTTAAGAATTTCAATCACAAGATGGTCGATTCAGAAAATCCACCAATTACACCAATTTAATCGACCAAATGAACAGAGATGCTTGCAAAAGTGCAGAAAATTTCAAGACTCTTGTATAATATTCTTGGGCAGAAAAGACTTGGCTACAAATCTCTTTGGGGTCGAAAATATAACTCGATCTATTCCCAACGGAACAATTCCAATATGTCCCCAATTTGGTTATAAAAGACCGATGTAACATCAAAACAAACCTAGGAGAACCTGGAAAAGAAAAAGTAACGGCTTCCCACGGTAGACAGTGTTTTACTCGAAAGCGTCGTCATCATCATCCGGGAGTGGCTGACTTGCAGCCGCAATGAGATCAGCCTCGTTCTTCTGCTGAGCAGCATGGTCGATGTGAACCTCTGGTGGAGCAAGAGCAGGTGACTCGACAAAGTGAAGGTTTTTGTCGCCAGCCAGTTTTCTAGCAAGGTACAAGAATGGCTTCTCGAAATTGTAGTTGCTCTTGGCAGATATTTCGTAATACTGGAGATTCTTCTTCCTGTGGAATGTTACTTGCTTGGCCTTGACTTGCCTGTTCTTCACATCAACTTTATTCCCGCAAAGAACAATTGGGATGTTTTCACAGACCCTGCAGCATGAAATTTGATGACATTATCGTTTAGCAATATGCCACAAACAACAAAGGTCTAGAAGGTCTAGCTTCTGCGTGTGAGTTCATACCTGCAAAGATCACGGTGCCATGTTGGAACATTCTTGTATGTCAGACGTGCTGTGACATCAAACATGATGATGGCACATTGCCCATGGATACTGTAACAAAACAAAACACATATTTTGTATCCAACAAAGTATTTGCAACAATAACCTTATATATAGCTTTTCATGTTGCTAGCTAGCGATCATGCTATTGAGCTTTAAATCATAATCAGTACTTACTAGTAACCATCCCTCAGACCACCAAATTTCTCTTGGCCAGCAGTATCCCAACAGTAAAAACGGATCTTGCCACAGTTAGTGAAGAAATCAAGAGGATGGACCTCAACACCAATAGTGGCTGCAAGAAAACAAAAAGACATCAGAATGGGTGAACTCGTGAATCAAGGAGGGGCTTGCTTGCAAGAACTTATGTTACAAGGTCAATCATCCCACAGCTTCTTAGGGGATTGGAAAATACTTATTACTACTGATGTATTTCTAAACGAGAGTAGAGAAACTCATTAATAAAAAAAATAAAGAGTGACTCAAACTTGGCTTTTTCTAACTATATAGGCATAAAAGCTATGTCTGAAGATTCCATATCGAATGACTTGATGAGCTATTTCTTGGTTCTGAAGTTTCCATATCAAAAACTTGATCAGCTTTCCCGAGGTATCCGTTAATGAAAGGCGAACTAGCACCACAAGATGATGCTTCCCAGTCAAAATGCTCTAACGCTATACATTATATAACTGTTGGGATATTGACAACCTTGACAGCATCTTTGTAGGTGAGCAACTGAGCTGTAAAAATATAGAGAAACAAATGTTAAAAGAGGATTGAAACAAGTTAAAGAAAAAGATAAGCCGGAGGGAGAAACAGCGGGCTAACGTTCTGGAGTGACGACAAAAACAAAGACTTTCTTCCCATAGAGCATTCCTCCTTCCTCTAATGCTTCCTGACACAAAGAAGAAGAAGAAACGTCAATACCAGAATCTCATCGACAATAGACTAGAAAAATGGAGAAGGTGTAAATCCAAAAAAAACTTACTTCAAGACTTTTGAACTGCCAATTGCATTTATAAAGATTATCAAATTCTTCCCACTGCCATCATAATTTAACAAAATGAGCAAAAGAACATCTAATGGAGACAGTACAAAGTACAAACTCCGAATCTCCGATGATATGTTAAAGCCAAATAAATATAATTCCTCAAAACAATATATTATACCTCAATTCCCACCGGAGATGCAACCTTCCACAAATCTTCCTGATAAACATACAAAACAAGGCGCACATGTGAATTGCCAATAGATTAAATAACGGAAGACCCAAATTGCATTGAAATTCAAGTGATGAATCATACATAAGCAGTACTATACATAGACTAAGGTTAGCAAGCAAAAGCATACCAGATTACGTTTCTCTTCAAAGTACTCAGGCTCTTCCTTTGTTTTGGTCGCTCGGGCTTTCTTTACACCTTTCTTCTCAATTTCCTTCTTGGTGGTCCTCTTTCGCTTACCACCACCACGAGCAGGTTTCTTCTTATCCTCATTCACTGATAAGATCTCTTCTGGATCACCCAATCACCATCAACGTAACCAAACCTCAGTACATCATCAAAACCTCAATTGCGTCTAAGTATATTCAAAAGAAGATAAAAATTCGGATAAGAGTACCTGTGCCTCCATTATGGACGATTTGCTGATTAGGTATAGCCTAAACACATAAACAAAGACATCAGCGGATCTGAGACAGTGAAAACCCCTAAACCCTAGTCCCTAGCACCGGAAAAATCCTTCTCCCCGGAACGTAATCTAATCGTAGAAGAAGAAGAAGAAAGCAAAGAGGAGAATTTTACCATTTTTAGTTTCGGGTTTGCGAGAGGAGATCGAAACAAGGCGACGAACGAGAGGGTTTTAAAAACATAGTTGTGAGGCTTTGTTGCTTAGGAATGACGCTACGCTATTTATTACTGGCTGTCTTTTTCGTTTTTCCTTATTGGGAAACTTGAGAAAGATAAAAAAAAAAAAATTGGAGGGGGTTTTCACTTAGGATTGAAGCTAATCTTATGACCGTAAGATCTTTTCCTTTTTTGTTTCTATAATTCTCCACCGTTGATATTCTATCTACCAGTCCACACATGCTCATCATCCCTTCCTTATTCTCCACCGTTAGAGCATGTGCGTGCATAGAGACTTTGAAAGTCTCTCAAATATATTATTCTAATATATATTATTTAATTTAGTTATTTATTTTAATTTTAAATAACAAAAAAATATTTAAAACCAATAATATGCTGACATGTGTAAAAGTAGTCTCTCAAAGGGTTCTCAAATAAAAAACATGAAAAAAGCTCCCGAGAAAAGTTGGAGATGGTGACGGCGCTAGGGTAATCACCCGACCATGCGTTTGTTTTTTGCGGCGAGGGTGGATTGGGATTCAGTATGGAAGACTGAGATCTCTCTCGGAGGATTTGAGGGAGGTGTATCTCTTGGGTTTCAATTGGTTTTATCGGTTAATTTGGTAAAAAAGGCACTTTGCCGATGGTTTCGACTGAGATGTAATCCGGCCATGCGTTTATGGTCTCAAGCAATAGAGAATCAGGGAGTCTTGGGTTTCTTTGGGATCTTCATCGAATGGTTTGATGGGGTTTTTATTTTTGGGATACGATTGGTTTTGAGGAATATTTTGGTAGTCAAGGCAGGTTGTCAATGGGTTAGAGGAGATTCTATCTCTTGGGGGAAGCAGGAGTATGGTTGTGAGGAAGCAAATGATAGATCTGGGCGAGTAAAGTTGTGTATCGGGGGCCAATGGAGGAGAGAAGTGAAGATTGTTTCAGGGAAAATGGAGTCTCGATCTGCTAGATATGGTGTCGTAAGTTGGATCTTGATTCTGGGAACTGGACGTGGGGTGAAGGAGATCCGATATGTTCATGGGTCTTTCTCGAAATGGTCTCAATGGTGGGTTGGGGACAGCATTTGGGTGGTTTCCGGGGAACTTTTAAATGGGGGAGTTTTGGTTTTGATCTTGATTTTGGAATATGAATGCGAGTTAAAGGAGCTGCGATGTCTTCGTGGGGAAGTGTTGAGTCGGGATAGATGGTGGCTTGTTTGGGGGCGAATCCTAAAGCTAGATTGTGTTTTGAAGGATCTAAAATCTATTCAGGCTGATGCGTTGTATGGCTATGGTGATGAGAAGGATGGTGATAAAGAGGTAGACTCTAGGGTTCTACACCCAATAATGAGGTCTAGTTTTGTTTCCATCATGTTTTGCTTCAGATTTGGCTCTTCTCGGGTGATTCTAAGGGTCATATCCAATGGATATGTTTCTGGTTTTGAAGTGGAGGCCTTCAATGGAGGATTGCAATGGTTTATTACAAACAAAGAGGAGGATTCATCACAATCGAAGTTATTGTGGATGGATTTTCACTCTCATTCTTTGGTGGTTTCTCAGATTTGCATATTTGACTCATCATTTTCAATTTGGAAAGATGTTTTCATATCTCTATTACTCAATTTCGGAGATTATTTGGTCTCCAATTGGTTTTTAGGAAAGCATAGTTTTGGGATTTGGTTATGGAAATTGTGGTTCGTATTTCATGTAACACTTTATATGTTGAACGATTTGGTGTTCTGTTTTTCTCAAAGTTTTGAAACAGAAGATCAGACTCTTTTCTTTAATTGGAAAATTTGGGTGACAAGGTTGCAAAATTTGGGAGATTATGGGAATGAAGGCCATAAACCGACGCACCATGGCACGGTAAAAGGTTTCACGGGTGGACGCAACCCACCAAAACACAAAGTTTATAAATGAAGGTTTTGAGTTGGAATTGTCAAGGGCTCGGGAATAAGGCAACTATCGGTTATCTTCGGGATATTTGGAAACAACACCGGCCAGATTTTTTATTTCTTTCGGAAACAAAACAATCCACCTCTTTTATGGAAAAATTTGTAGGTCATTTTGGTTATAAAAATTTAAGAACTGTGGATCCTATCGGTTGTAGTGGCGGTTTAGCCCTCTTTTTAATAATGATTATCATGTTTCGGTTTTATTTGAAAGTAATCGGTTAATCGATGTTGAAGCAATTTATAAGGGCAAAGTAATTTATCTTACTTTTGTTTATGGAGACCCGGTTCCTAGTAAGAGGGAACAAGTGTGGGAAAGGTTAACTAGAACCGGCTTATCTCGAGACTCTCCGTAGTTTTTAATTGGTGATTTTAATGAATTAACTGGGAATCATGAAAAGAGAGGGGGTAAATTAAGACACGCATCTTCTTTTATTCCGTTTAATTTAATGATTCAAAATTCTGGTCTTCTGGAATTTCCATATATCGGAGATTGGTTGTCTTGGAGGGGCTGGCGGGATAAGAAACCGATACGATGCCGTCTAGATCGGGCCCTGGCAAATGAAGATTGGCATGAATTATTCTGTAATTCTTTTGTTGAGTATTTACAAATGGTAGCCTCTGACCATTCACCTGTTTTAGCTACGATTGCGGATAAGATACCACGCGGGAAACAAAGTTTCAGGTTTGACAAAAGGTGGATAGGAAAAGAAGGGTTATTGGAGACAATTGAAACTGGTTGGAATTTTGATACTGAGCCAGGAGATGGGAAATTTGTGGAAAAATTGACCAATTGTCGGCGAGCAATATCGAAATGGCGACGGGAGCTGACCCCATATGGTCGACAAACAATTGAGGATTTAAAATCACAACTATCCGCGGCGCAGCGAGATGATGGTCGATCACGGGTGGAGATTACGGATTTAACAATTCGGTTGAAAGAGGCTTATAAGGATGAAGAATTATATTGGCATCAGAAAAGTAGAAGTTCTTTGCTGCAATTAGGAGACAATAATTCGAAATACTTTCACGCTCTAACGAAACAGAGACGGGCGAGGAATCGAATTACGAGTTTACACGATGAGAATGGGATCTGGTCAACGGAGGATAAAGTGGTTCAAAATATTGCGGTTTCTTACTTTCAGACGTTATTTACTACGACAAAACCCGAAGAATTTGAGGATGCGTTGGAAGAAGTACAAAGGCTGATTACGGATCAGATTAATGATTTTTTAATAGCTCCGGGAACGGAGGGAGAAGTGAGAGCAGCTCTATTTATGATGCACCCGGAGTAGGCTCCCGGGCTAGATGGTATGACAGCTTTGTTTTTTCAAAAAGCTTGGACTACCATTAAAGTAGATCTTTTATGCTTGGTTAATTCTTTCCTAGAGGATGGGATTTTTGATAAACGGTTGAATACGACAAACATTTGTCTAATTCCAAAAACGGAAAGACCGACCAGGATGACGGAGTTACGACCTATTAATTAGTCTCTGCAATGTTGGTTACAAGATTATATCGAAGATTCTTTGTCAAAGACTAAAGACTGTTTTACCAAAACTGATCTCGGAAACACAATCGGCTTTTGTTGAAGGGCGGTTAATCTCGGATAACATTCTTATTGCACAAGAGATGTTCCATGGGCTAAGAACTAACCCATTCTGTAAAGGAAAATTCATGGCTATAAAAACGGATATGAGTAAGGCTTATGATAGGGTGGAATGGATTTTCGTTGAAAAGGTTTTGAACAGATTGGGTTTCTGTGAAAAATGGATTAGTTGGATAATGTGGTGTATCACTACAGTCCAATACAAGGTTCTCATTAACGGACAACCTCGTGGTCTAATAATTCCGGAGAGAGGATTACGACAAGGAGATCCGCTTTCTCCTTATCTATTCATTCTTTGTACAGAAGTTCTAATTGCGAACATACGGAAAGCTGAACGGGAGAAATTAATTACGGGTATAAAGGTAGCAAATGCATGCCCTCCGGTTACTCACTTGTTGTTTGCGGATGATAGCCTTTTCTTTTGTAAGGCTAATAAGGATCAGTGCGGGGTAATTTTGGGGATTTTAAAGCAGTATGAAGCGGTCTCGGGACAACAAATTAACTACTCGAAATCTTCGATTCAGTTTGGACATAAGGTAGTTGACGATGTTAAGGAGGAGATTAGATCTACTTTAGGTATCACTACCATCGGTGGTATGGGTTCTTATCTCGGTTTGCCAGAAAGTCTAGGTGGCTCCAAGACGAAACTTTTCTCTTTCGTCCGAGACAGATTACAGACAAGAATTAACGGATGGTCGGCAAAATTTTTATCTAAAGGTAGGAAAGAAGTGATGATTAAATCGGTAGCTGCGGCATTACCAACTTATGTGATGTCGTGCTTCAGACTACCGAAAACAATCACTTCTAAACTTACCAGTGCAGTTGCTAATTTCTGGTGGAGCTCGAATGGTGAATCCAGAGGCATGCATTGGATGGCCTGGTATAAATTGTGTACTAGTAAAATGGAAGGAGGGATAGGATTTCGGAACGTCGATGATTTTAACTCGGCATTACTTGCTAAACAGTTATGGCGATTAATCACGGTTCCAGATTCTCTCTTTGCAAGGATTTTTAAAGGGCGGTATTATCGGAAATCCAACCCATTGGAAAATATAAAGTCTTATTCCCCATCGTATGGGTGGCGGAGTATATGCTCAGCTAGATCTCTGGTTAAAAAAGGACTTATTAAAAGAGTCGGATCTGGGACTTCTATCTCAGTTTGGGAGGATCCATGGATTCCAGCTCAATTCCCGAGGCCAGCAAAAAGTAATGGATCTATTATGGATCCATCTCTTAAAGTAAACATGTTAATCGACCGCTGATCGAATTTTTGGAACATTGATCTCCTTAAGGCGATCTTTGACTAGGATGAAGTCGAATTAATTAGTGCCCTACCAGTGGGAGCGATGCACAAGGAGGATACTTTGGGTTGGCACTTTACAAAATCCGGCAAATATTCAGTTAAGTCGGGGTATCATACCACAAGGTTGGATAAGTCAGAGTCTAGCTCCTCTTTCATTGGGCCAGATCTCATTAAGTTAAAGGCTAACACTTGGAAAGTACAATGTCCACCAAGGATACGTCACTTTTTATGGCAAATCTTAACGGGTTGTGTACCGGTTACAGAGAATTTAAAGAGGAGAGGAGTTGTTTGTGACTCAGGATGTGCCAGATGTGGTGCACCTGAGGAGACAATCAATCACACACTCTTTCAGTGCCACCCAGCACGACAGGTTTGGGCACTTTCTCAAATTCCTACGGCTATGGGGATTTTCCCCTCGGATTCTATTTTTGCGAATTTAGATCATCTATTTTGGAGGATACCTTCGGAGGTTGATTCCAGTGCTTATCCATGGATTCTTTGGTATATCTGGAAAGCACGGAATGAAAAGATTTTTGGAAATGTTGATAATGATCCGCTAGAGGTTTTACGGCTAGCGGAAAAAGAGGCACAATTGTGGCAATCAGCTCAAGTGGAGCTTCATAGTGAAAATCAAGAATCATGGGCAACTCCAAACCGGCCTCGAACGAGGGGGTGTCTATTGATTCGAATTTCACGGGATATCGTTGTTTTGTGGACGGATCTTGGAAGGACAATGATAAGTTTTCCGGACTAGGGTGGTTTTGCACACCATCACATGGTGAGCCGACAACAAGGGGAGCTGCTAACCTCCGTAGAAGCCTATCTCCGCTACATACAGAATTCGAAGCCCTCATGTGGGCGATGAAGTGTATGATTGGTGCAGATAATCAAGATGTAGCTTTCTTTACAGACTGTTCTGACTTGGTGAAGATGGTGTCTTCCCCAACCGAATGGCCGGCCTTCTCAGTGTATTTGGAGGAATTTCAGAGCGACAAGGAAGAGTTCTCCAATTTCTCTCTTTCTCTAATTTCTCGATGTGCTAATACTAAAGCGGACAATCTGGCACGAAAAGTTCGTACGGAACCGCTACACATCACCTATGTAAACAACATTCCTCAGGAATGACTCTTTTGAGCTCTTTTTAATTTCGGATGACAAAAAAAAAAAAAAAGGGTTCTCAAATGTTTTTCTCTCCACTTTTTATTATTTTCTTATTTTTTATTAGTGAAAATCTATGTGAGAACTTTCCACCGCACATGCTCTTAATTACTATATAGCACACCAAAAAGGCAATAATCGTGACTTCTGTCTATTTACAAATAATTTGAAATCAAACAAGATGTTAAAATAAACAAGGAAAATTGGTTACGAAAACCTCTATTTCTTTAAGGGGTTTTTTTTTGTAATAAACCCTAAAATCGCTACTTTTTATAATTTTACTTTTTATTTTTTTAAAAATGCAGGTCATGAAGTCAAAATGACTGCGTCTAGGTATTTTCATGAAAGTAGTGAAAACTTTGGAGTTTGAAAATCAATACACGAACGTATCCATAACCACAAAATTAAGTAAGGAATCAAATAGCATTGAATAGTTAACAGAAGATTTGCAACAAAATATAAGAAAAGAAAAAAATTAATGATACAAATACAATCAAAGATCAAAAACCTCTGTTCTTTGTTAGTTCTTGATCTTGGTCCGTAGATTTTTTTCAGACATTTTTTCTACCTTATTCCCTGCATGTCGTCCCAGGAGCAAGTATTGTTATTATTGTTGTTGTGTTGGTCGTTTGTTGCGGTTGCGAGGGCTGTAGAATCAGCAGGGAATAGTGAAGCTAATTGATGAACATCAAGAACGAGATTGTCGTCAGTGACAACAGATGATTGTCCGTTAGAGATCTCTCCACTATCACTTCCCCAATCAAGGAGCTTAGCTATGTCCTCTTGCATTGTGTTCATTTGAAGAGACTCTTCTTCCTTTGATTTCAGATCTGCGTTTCAGTCAAAAACATTTAAAATTTTCCCTATAGAGAAGTAAATAGTTTAGATTTGAAGTGTTTTGAGTGGTTTAAATTGTACCTTGTACGGAACATAAGTTGTCAGAAGAGTCATAATGTCCGAAACTAACCGAGAAGAAGTTGTCGTTGTTGTTGTTATCGTTGTTGTTTGGAGGAGAAGCTGTGAGTTGTCTTCGTTTTGGAGGCCGGCCTCTGCCTCCAGAGGCTAAAGCTTCGGCTTCTTCAAGGACATCCTCTAAGAGGCTGCAGCTACTACTTCTTCTATGAACACCGGAACTGTTAAGGTTATGATTTTGTCTCTCATTGTCTGTGAAGTTGTTGACATTATTGAAGGCATCTATTTGGGGAATTTGGTTTGAAGGGAGCTGCTCTGGTTTCATGGAGTAAACCGGGTTGGTATGAAAGGAGGTGGAAGAAGGAGTGTAATGGGAGTGAAGAAAGCTTGGGGAAGAAGTTGCTGTAGGGTAAGAAGAAGAAGAAGAAGGGTTTAAAGAGAAGGAAGGAGAGGAAGAGTAATTGTTATTAGTGTTGTGGTAAGTAGCTGTTTGAGCGGTTGGGGAAGGGTAAGGCAATGTTAGAAACGAAGTGTAGGAGTCTCTTGAAACAGGGGAAAATGGAGCGGTTGAGACGCGGTTGATGCAATTGAGAGGAGTATTCGCATTGTTGTAACGTTTAGCGAAGAGCGATGAAGGCGGTTGAAGGAGAGGTGGAGGTCTAGGGAAAGTGAAATTTGCGTTATTGTTATTGATTTGGGAACTTGGGAGGGCGAAGAGAGGAAGAGTCGGGTATTGGTTGTTGCGAGGGGAAGATAAAGGAGAGGAAAGTGGCGGTGGAGGCGGTGTGGAAGAGAGTTGAGAAGGAGTTTGGGGTGTGTTTGGAGTGTGAGGGCTAAGTGGATGGAGGAGATTAGCGGTTGTGGTATGAAAAGTGAAAGATGATGAGGAGTTTGCGTTTGCGGATACTGGTGTTGGAGATGGAAGAGGGGAGGATGATGGTGTGTTTGGTTGTGAAGATTGTGGTTGAAAATACATTTGTTGATGATGATGTTGTTGTTGTTGATGATGATGATGGTGATGATGATGGTTATGTTGTTGTTGTTGTTGTTGTTGATGATAATGTTGTGGATGTGGATGGAGTTGATGGTTAGGGATAATGTTGTTGTTGTTGTTGTTGTTGATGATGATGTTGTGGATGTGGATGGAGTTGATGGTTAGGGATAATATCTGGAGGATAAAGAGGAAGTCCTTGGCGTTGAAGGCGTTTCAACCTCGTGTTCCAATAGTTCTTGATCTCGTTGTCTGTTCTTCCCGGCAACTAATTTATGAAAAATTTGCAAAGAGATTAGTTAACGTGTAACGCAGGTAACACCAAGTATATATGTATAAGTTGTTGTTTATACCTGAGCAGCCATGCGAGCCCATTTGTTTCCAAGCTGAGCATGAAGCTGAATGATGAGACGTTCTTCATCGCCGGTGAAAGAGCCTTTTTTGAGATTGGGCCGGAGGTGATTGGCCCATCGAAGACGGCAGCTTTTGCCGCAACGAGCCAAACCTGTGTTTTTCTGAACGGCGTTCCAGTTTCCTTCACCGTTCTCTCTAACGTACGCAGCAAGTATCTCATCTTCCGCCGCCGTCCATGGACCTTTCTTCAATATCACTCCTCCGTCTGATAAGTGATTGGTGGATCCACCGTCTTTCCCTGCTCCTCCTCCTCCGTACAGGATCATAGCTTCTTCCCTCGCCGATTCGAGAAGAGAAAGAAACAAATAAAAAAACAGAGTTTTGTGTTTTAATAAAGTATTTTCTTTTTGTGTTTTGGCTTATGATTGGGGGGATTTGAGAAAGGTAGGACCCACAGAGTGATTTTCAACCCCCAAGTTCGGCCATCGGAAAATATTTGTTGTTTTGTTTTTTTTTTTTACTGAGACAAATGATGACAAAGAGGGAAAAACAGAGAAGAGGTAACTTAGGTAATTTACGGTGTAAAATTACAACGGAAAAAACAAGAAATAAAAGAGATATAAATAAAAAGAGGAGAGAGAGAACAAATTGACAGTGTTTGTTTCTCTGGACACAACACAAGTCTTCTTAAGACAACTCACAATATCGGTTGTTTTTTTCTGAATTACTAATGTTTTTTAATCTTCTATTTTAAGTAATGACATTTGTAACGCGCTTATTTTAATATCATCTTCAACGTGAACTATCTTCTCTTACAGTTTTACTACATGTGAAGAGGATTTGATCGTACGACTTATTTTTTACATAATTAGCCTTTTAAAGATTGTAGAAACAACTTATTTTTACAGGACTGGTCAAATGTTTTCAACCTTCAAATAACATTTTTCCCCCATAAAACCATTGTCAGCTTGGATAGATTGGCATAGTTGACAAACATTATCAGATTCTACCTACAAACTCATTTAGTTTTTGGTTTAACTCAGTGCAACGCATTCATATTGAAAAGTTTCGATTTCAACCCATGAATCAAACATGAGATTGATTTGTGAATAATGTTTTGTACTCATCCTACAATTATTCATGTTGCTTGGCGTTTCAAACATTGAGGTGCATGAGGAATCAAATTGATTTAGTGGTAAAATGCTCTTTTGTCTCATTTATCATAAATGCCTTATGGAGTTCTTTTCTTATCTTTGACCAAACACAGAAAACACTTGTTGTGTGACCTTTCCTTCTTTCAAAGCAAATGACGCGAGCCACTTGTGTGTGCCATAACTTGAAGACTCGGCCAAACAACCTTCACTATGGTCATATGATATAATACTAATTCATATATTATATAACAAATAGAGAAGTGTAGGAAGACCAAAGACTTCACGGAATCAGGTGAATCAAGAACTTGGATTGGTTTGATGAAACATCTACGTTAGGAACATAGTTAGCTAACCGGGATGTCGATATCAATAAAAATCTCCAAATTTTAACTCTTAGACCAACTATACTGATGACTGATGACTCTAACCAGCCTGAACCTCGAAATAAAACTAACCACATCAAAAAAAATAAAGAAGCCTGGTAAAAGATTTTGATTCACATGTAGACTCACCCGGTAAAACAGCTCTTGGCCTTATGTTTGTTTCCGTTTTGATACCACAGCGATCAATTACATATCCAGCCCACTTTATCGCCTGGTGTAATGATGAGCACAGAAAACAGAAAAGGCTGTGGCGGTATCATTTGCTTGGGTTTTCTTCATGGCTGTTTTTTTAGAGCTGTAGCGCCAAATCAGGCTGTTGGGAATCGACACGAACACCAGAAGATTGTTTTGCAGGAGAATCAGGCGAATGAACTCCGATGTTCAAATCTGGTGGGAGATTGAGATTCTCTTGTCTCTGCTTCAACTGGACTTGTGGAGTAATGCCTCCTCGCCATGGAGACTGGACATGGAATCTTGTGAAATCAGAAGTTGGAGCAGCCATCTGAGGAAAAACAATCGGTCGGTTGTTCTGAATTGGTTGTGATCCTACGTTCATCATCCCGTGAACAGGCTGGTGCACAAATGTCTGGAAAGGGAAACCATTCCTCTGAGGATGGAACTGTGTCTCTTCGGGGTCTCTTGGTTTGAAAGCTTGTTGGTGAAGTTGTTCCCTTGACGGATTATACAAGGACTCCGCAGAAATGTGGCTGCTCCTCAGATTAGTAGGATTTTCAAATGTTTGTTTATTATTCCCTCCAGCTCCTATCGACATCCATGCTCTTGCAGCTGCTACAGAAGCATTGCTCGAATCTTCACTTCTTGCGGATTGTGGTGACGAGACATTAGGTGGAGCATCAGCTTTAGGATGATTATAAGTAGAGTTGTGCTGTGTTCTAGCCTTCTCATTGAAGTTTCTCATTAACTGTGCTTGTTCACCGTGGCTTTGACTCTGTTGTCTCATGGGTTGTTGTGAACTTGTTGCTGTGCGACTCATTTGATTAGCAAAATCAGTAGATAGATCAAACATTCTGTTGCTCACACCAGGAGAGTCTTTGCCATTACTCAATCCACCAGGAAAGATCCCGTTAGTAGTCATCTGATGCTTGTAATGTTCAGAATCTTTAGAAGTCATGTTCCTCATCATGTCACTTGATGACCTGTATGATGCCACTGTATCTGATTTTCCAAAGCTACGGTTTTCCGAAACACAAGTAGAACCGGAATTGGATTGTTCTGCTGGTGGGGGTAAATTCAGTTCTACTTGCTGAGGAATCCTATTTTGGGACTTGACAAAATCTAGCGGAGAAGGATTTCGATATTCATGCTGGCTCATTGATTTTAGGTTTCCTACTTGAGTAGCAACAAAAGAAGGACTCCCTTCTGACGAAGCCCCAATAGATGTTGGAAATGGGAATGCACGGTTTCCATCTCGAACGGGTCTGTTACCCTGTTGTTCCTTTACGGGCAGAGGAGTCTTAAACAGTGTCTCATTCTTCTTTGCAGCAGCATTTGATTTTGGCTTTGAAAAGACAGATGCTTCTTTAGGTGGTTCTTTAGGTGTGTAGGTTTCAAATAGAAGTACTGGCGTAGGAAGCGGCTCGTATTCTCCAACCCATCCCCGACCAAACTTAAAGTCTGCAGGAAGTGCTTGCTCAATTCGCTGAGAAGCTATTTTCCATGCAACGGGTCCAAGAGTAGCAGCAAAACGTGCAAGGCTCCTACCATACGCATGTTCTGCATGAAGCCCTACCTGATGATACGGGAAAATAATTTAGTCAAGAAGGTTAAGCGCAATCATAAAATGACAATGAAACTTTGAGCATAATAGTTATCACTTACAGCAACAAACTGCTTGATTTCACTCTCAAATGTTGTGAATATGGACTCCGATCTATCGGCCTGCTGATCAGAATTTTCATAGGTTGCACGGCGGTCTTCCTCAACAACCGACAGCTTCCTCCCACACTTACCAACAAGACCCTTTCCTAGGAAAAGTGAAACAAAATGGAAATATATCAAGAAAAGAGAAGAGGTGGGTGGAAGAAAAAACCATTATTCTTAGCATCTACAACTAATTGAAGTATGTGTTTCCCTCATACCGGATGACAAGTCTTCTGCTTTCTCCAGATTGTCTACTAAGGATGCATTTCCCTCAAAAAACACATCTGTACAGCTGTGCTTTTCATGTCCGCCAGTTTGAGTTAAAACAGGTTCATTTTGAGAAGCTCCTCCACTTGCAAGGTTCGCACCAAAGGAGAAATCAGAACCAACGGGCTCTAGACCATTTCGACTAAATGGCTGTCTCACTTGCTTCTTCACAGAGCTGCCAGGTTTCACCTTTTCATCTGTTTTAAGCTCTTTCTCAGCACGTTTAATCTTAATTCTTGCCTTGTCAAACTTCCTCTTCCCCATTTCCTGAATAGTCCTTGCCTGGTAGGAAAAAAAAACGAGTTTCAAATGCCGGGGAGCAGAAAAGAAAACCCAATTTGCAAAGAAAGAAGATTGGTGAGAAAATAAAAATATGATTTACCTGTTTATAGTACACAGTATCTGAGGAATTGTATTGCATCGCATTTGAGCAAATCAATAAGACATCGCTCTGCAGTCAAAAATACAGTTCCAAAAACAGCTTAGCAAAGGAAGTCAAGCAACAATATAGGTGATGGATTTAATTCATGATCCTAGCAACTACACTAGAGCAGTATTATCACAAACCAATTCTTCTACAAAGAATATCCTGAAAAGTTACAAAATCAGTTCATCATGTAAAAGCTCTCCATGTAAACTTGAGAAACAAACTTATCACCCACCTCAAGCTCTTCCAATGTAGAATATGATCCATGTGCAAGCTTCTTCCTCACTGTGGAAAAATCCATGGGATGCTCTATCATCTCATGATAATCAGGAAGCTGCAAAATACAATCCCAAAAAAAAAAATCAAATAAAACAACTTAAAGCTCCAATTGCTGAACAGATTAGTCAGAGATGACTCCAGGGAATCCTCCATTACTACCTCTTCAGGATCAACCGGTTCTGCATACACACCATAGATGTCTTTCCTGTTTGCAAAAAGAACTCCCAAGTAAGATAAGATAAACAATGTGATTACGCAGTCGCACACAACAGAGAAAGAAAAGGATTTTGTGAGTTGTGTACTTCTGAAGTTTGTCAAGAATCAACTCCAAAGACTTCTTGTCAAGGATAGGTGTTGTTTCTGAAAAATGATCACACTGAATCCCTAATACAACAAGAACAATAACCAAAATCAGACTGAGAGGAGACTAGTCATGATAATCAAAACTCAAAAACCAAGTAAGCATCATACCAGAAGCACTCCTCCTCTTCCTTTCCTGATAAATTCACAAGAGAACTCATATCAGAAACCTCAAAAATGTACTTGAATCAAAACCCAATGCCACACAAAAAGAGACAGAAGTGATTGACCAGATAGTGTGAGACAGCAACAACAACAACAACAACAACAACAACAACACACATCAAGAATTGAGAGAGAGAGAGAAAGAGTAAAAGATGTGGGTGATGGAGAGAGAAAGGTGGGAAGTGTGATCAGATTCTGTGGGAAGAGAGAGAGTGAGAGACAGCATAAGTTAGTGTTTTTTTGACAGTTGACCCCGACAGTTTAAATTATCTCCCAATTCCCCAACACTCTCATTGCAAGCAAAGAACCACACACACAGAGACAGAGACAAGAAACCTATATATACACACACACTGACTGTGATAAAGTTCATCACTTTCTAGGGTTTCCGTACAATACCTTATCATCATATTCCTCAGAATCAGCTTCTTCTTCCTCTTTCTCTTCCACATCATAATCCTTCTCTTCTTCTTCATCTTCGTCGTCGTGACGGTTAATCTTCCTCTTCTTCACTTGCCTCTTCTCACTCACATCTTCCTCCTCCTCCTCTGCTTCATCGTCCTCATCATCTTCTTCTTCTTCTTCTTCATAATCAGACGCGTGTCTCACACGCGCTCGACTCTTAATCGGAGGGTCAGCTCTAGCACGGCTCTGGTTCAGCTTAAGAACTTGTTTCAGCTTCTTCTGTCTCTTCTTCTCCTCTTCAACATCATCCTCTTCCTCCTCGTCGAAGTAATCATCGAAATCGAAGTTATACCTCACATTTCGCTGCCTTTGACCTCGCCGGAGCTCATATCCCGATTCACCCGGAGACGAACTACTACGCCGCGCCGCCAGATCCGCCTTCGACGGTCGACCTTTCCTCCGCCGTCTCGCGATCTGACTCATCTTCTTCTCTATCGAACTCAGTGCACAACACCCAATCCCTTTCTCTCTCTACAGCTAAGGTCTCTCTCTCTCTGCAACTTTCTATTTTTTTTTTTCCGGGTAGGAGAGAGAAAGGAAGAAAATGAAGAAACTTTTGGTCAACCGAAGCTAAGTCTGAGCCTTAGGTTCGGATAATTTGATGTATTCAAAAAAAAACTGCGCTATATAAACGGCGTTAATAGACGGACGTTAGCTACTACCCGTTGCCCGGCTAGTTAAATTTGTTATTTTTATTAATTATAGTTTCCACGTCATCAATTTCTTATTGAAGCTTAGACACGTTACTCACGCGCTTTACACTAGGCACTCGTGTTTAAGGAATTTCATTTAAAGTTACTTAATCAGAAGTGTAATTTTAAAATTAAGAGAACGAGTAGGATCATGTACTGTATTTGTGTTTTTGAACTTACCTAAAATGTATAAACACGTTTTAAAATGAAATATTATGTTGAAGTACAACATCTGAATTTTCATTAATATTTCTGACTATGCTCATTTAATTGATGTCGGACAATTGTATGCTCTTATTGATCTTATTTTCTTACCACAAAATATAGTTTACGGTATTTCCTATAGTTAATTGAGCGATACGAATGTGTTATGTGTATATCTAAACAAATATATATATATATACTTTATCTTATATTATTATGAGAGAATTAGTGGTAGACTTTTGTGAAAAATTTTAGAAAGAAAGAAAGAAAGTATAAGCTTAAGAGTTAAGAGAGAATGAGCAATTTGGATTGATGCGAATTTGCGAACACAAATTTGACACGACGCCTATTTCAAAAGTGTAACCTTTTTTTGTCCCATCCTTTTTGACAAAATGGTACAGCCTAACCACTTTTACTAGAAATATATTCTCCCAATATGCATGAGAAGTTCATTGACGAATTGCTATAATGGATTGGTAGGAAAATATAATTAAATTTGAAATTTAGGGATCATTGTTACTGTTAATCTTTAATAAGTTTCTGTCTCTTAAGGTACTAATTGTTATTTTTCATTTTGAGTTTGATATTCTTAATAGGCTAAGATACGTAATTAGTAATATTTTATCCCTGACATACGATAAGGTAATGTACTGTTTTCCTTATAAGAGAAAATAAACGATAAAAAAATGATAACCTAAAACAGAACATAAACAAAACAAAGATATAAAAGTTTGGAATTGTTTGCTATTTTAAATCATTTTTTACTATTTTATAACTGATTGGATCCAATGTTTTTTTCATGAAAAAGGATTATTTAAAAGTTTGCCTTGGTTTTATCAAAGTTATTATGTACTAGATCTATTAAAAACTGACTAACAAAACAACCACTATACGTTATTTATATTTGACATGACAATTCTCTTTCAACGCTATAATATTTTACCTTATAATTTCTGTATATGTAAAAGTGTTAGCACAATGATCTTGGTCTTTGTGGTCACATTTTCAAATGGTTGTGACACGATCATGTCACCATCCGTTTTTAAAAAGCATGTAATTAGCACTAGTTTTTGTAGTCTTAATTGACCATTCTTTTTACCTTATGTACACCAACTGCATCATTTCTTGCGGTGGCATGCAGCAACTTACCATAAGATACATGCAAATCAATAAAATTTTTGTTTTTACATCAAAAAAATCAAAGAAATTTTAATGGACCAATATGTTATGACCACAAATATGTTGAAATGCCCCGAAGTTACTTGTGAACGCGCTACAAAGCACGCGTGATCTGCAAAACTCCAAATGGCCTGCATGGAGTTCGAAACATTTTTTCTCTGACATAGCAAACAAATTAATATTGCAGAAAAAAAAGAGAGACCGAAATTAGTTTTACTAACCTTAATATTAATAGTCAAAGCCAAAACTATTTATAATGAATTAGAAAGAAAAATTGAGTCGGCAAACTATATAGCAAACAAATAACATTGACTTATATGGTTCCTAAACGGTTGAATTCGCCATATTTGATACTCTTTCCGTTTCGATTTAGTTGTCGTTTAAAGATTTTTTACACAAATTAAGAAAAACATTAAATTTTCTGTTTTACCCTTTATTAATATATTTTATAAAAAAATTCATTGGTCAAAACATTAAAACAGTAGGGATAAAACTGGAATTTTCACCAAACATTTGCATTGAAAACCTAAAATAACAACTATTATGAAATAAAATTTAAATCCTAAAACGACAACTAAATTGAAACGAAAGAAATAATAATAAGAAAAAGATACGACGTGTGACTGGAATCTGCATTAAATCTGAGCCGTCCAATTAAATCACATTGAGAGAATCTAACGATTTAGAAGAAGATAATACTAATGGGCCCCACAATCATCAGAACATTATACGTTACTTCTGATAGTTTTGGCTTCTGACCTTCAACAAAAACTAGTATTTATTACGTATCACCAGTTTTGACCAAACTTTGATGTAAATGAACACTTGAAATTTGTTTTCTTGTTTCAACATTTGGAAGATTGAAATGAACTAAGAGCAGGTGCAGTAGGACTCTCAAATTCTCTTAAAATATATTATTATAATATACATAAATTAATTTAATTGTATAATTAAATTTGAGAAATTATTAAAAATGCCCCTTTTTCAATATCCTTTTTCAAAAATATCCCCTTTGAGAGTCCATTTTTAAGTTTGTCATCTTTTAATTTTTAATGACCATTTTACTCTTATTTGAAACAAAATTAGGTCCACAAAATACAAAATATTTTTTGGCGGGAAAAGTGATCCCGCGATTTTCCCGCCAAAACACTTGTAAAAACCTTTAAAATACCTTGTAAAATTTTCCCATAAAACTTTTTCCCGCCAAAAATTTTTTTTGCGGGAAAAGGGATTCTGCAATTTTTTTGGCGGAAAAATTTACAAGGTATTTTAAAGGTTTTACGGATTATTTACAAGCGAAACGGAGACATTACAATGAATTTTCAAAGGTTGGAAAAGCACCGTTATAACTTGTAAAACCTTATTAAAATAGCCTTGTAAAATCTTATAATATCTTATAAATACCCTTATAAATACGTTGTAAAACCTTTTAAAATACATTGTAAAACCTTATAAATACCCTGTAAAAAACTTTTAAAATACCTTGTAAATTTTTCCCGCCAAAAAAATTGCAGAATCACTTTTCCCGCAAAAAAAAATTTTTGGCGGAAAAATTGTGGGATCACTTTTCCCGCCAAAAAATATTTTGTATTTTGTGGACCTAATTTTGTTATATTTTCTTATATATTTGTGATATCTTTTATTAAAAGAAGGGTAATTTAGTCATTTGTACATAAAAAGGGGTATTTTTAAAAATGGACAGCCAAAGGTAGCATTTTTGAAAAGGGGTATTGAAAAAGGGGCATTTTTGTGAGTCTCCCATTAAATTTTAAGTAATATTCTCTCCGTTTCATAATATAAGTTGTTTTAGAGAAAAAATTTTGTTTCATAATATAAGTCGTTTACAAGTTTCTATGTACTTTATATATTACTTTAATATTTTATAATTATTTATATTATGCAGTCTTTTTTATGATTGGCTGAACTTTTTAAAAGTAGATCTTCTTAATCTGCGTGTTTAAAGCTAAAACGACTTATATTATGAAACGGAAGTTGTAAATTTTATTTAAAACCAATTACATGTTGTCATGTGTGACATGAGTCTCTCAAGAGGTTCTCAAAAGTTCTCATGTGAGAACCCATGCTCATGTCTCTCTCTTACTTTTTATTATTTTTATTTTTTATATTCTTGAAAATACTTGTGAGAACCGGAACCTTCCACTGCACATGCTCTAAGGCATGTTTATTTTCTGATTACTTTGACCAACTATGTTCAAATGTTCTTTGCCAAAAAAAAAAATCATGTAATGTATGTCTAAATTTAAATCTTTTAAATCTCTTTCATGTCTAATCTCAAATTATGAAACTCAACTTTTAATCGTACCAAGTTATTTTATTGGCAATTGATGGATGATAATATAACAAGCTTAATTACCTAATATTCGATGAATTTGTTTTTACTGGGCTGGTTTTAAGGATTATCTCTCAAGCTTTAATTTGAGGACAAGAAAAACAAAAAGCCCACAATGGAAATGACCCAACACCCCAACTCAACCATAATCCAAACTATAACCAAGCCTTATAAATTAACTAAACAGACAAACAGTATTAAAACATGGACTTATAACATCATTATGTAAAGTTCTATATAGAAAATGCATTAAAATTGTAATATTTTATAATCTTGTTGATTTTAGCTAAAGCTTCCCATAAAAGAAATGAAGCATGTATAATTTGATATTAAATTATTAATGGTGATTGGCGGCAAGCCGGCAAGGCAACAATCAAAATATTTATAATTTCATACGTTGGTTGAATGTACCAGATTAATCATTAATCAAACATTCAACGTATAAAGTATAAACGCATAATAGATAAATTATTCAATATTAGAAACCGTGTCAGAGGATTATTGGAGTTGTAAACTAAAAGATACTATGAGATGTTCGTCGTTGACAATCCCACGTTTTACGGTGAATTTATTTCCCAAAGTACCACCTTATCTATAATCACATTTGTTTATACATATATATCGATCCGTTAATTAATAGTTTGATTCGTATATGTATCAATTAGTGACTGTGTCCTCTAAATTAATCACTGTTAGATACTAAAATTACAGGTAGGCGGTAGGCCGTAGTTGTTTGCATATAATTTGTCTTCGTACATGTATAGATCACGTAATAATTGGTAGAGTATACGTATTAAGTTGCAAAGACTACGTATACAATAATTGGTAGTTATGTTAATTAAAACTATTTAATAAGAGTATTTTATTTAGACAATGCCACAAACGTGTAGTGTTCTACCTCTACAGTATATTAGGAGTTAGTTTAGGTCAAAGTGTCCTAATTTGTTTCACCGTACCAAAATGTACCATTAATTAAATTAGTCTTTTGATGTTATTTACACCCGAATATAAATGAATATAATTAATTCGAACAAAAGACAATTAAAATTTGTAGTTACTTGCAAATTTTCCAAAGAGTGATATGTTTTGGCATTTTGCTAGATTATACCGACATCAAACTAGCTTAAATCCAAACCTTACGAAGCTTAATGAAACATTTTGATTTGGTTGCAAAAATTTTGTTTTCCCTTAAATTTAATTCGTCAAACTTAAATTTTATCAAACTTAAAATTTGTACCTAATATCCAAAATCATACAAAAAAATTCGATGAAACACACTTAATGAGTTATTTAAGAAGGTGCTACTTTAGATGGTAAAAGATAAAACTGCTGAATGATAATTTGATATAGCGTATATTAGGTATGGGCAAAATATTCGTTAGATACCCTTCGATTCGGTATTCGTTTTGATTCGATTAGAAAAATCTGAATATCCGTAAAATTTTGGAGCAAAGCAAATTGGAAAACGTAGTATTCGTAAAAAC